ATGTATACTTCTATAATAACACGGCGCCTCTATATATTTTCTATCTCAATCATTGACATAGGAAATATATGGACTTGAAATACCTACGAAAAAAAGGTGCCTACCTACAATCCAAAATGTCGCATAATATGGCTGCCGTTGCTAGGGTTGTGCCGACTAAGTATTTAACGAGTATCGATACAATTTGAGTAAAAGTTCTACGTAGGTATAGTTTTAGGGATTAGCCAGCTGATTAACGGTATTTTTTTATGGGAAATCATCTAATGTCATCTCCGGCCTTTTTCGGGACAGACCGTTACTGACTAAAATCAACTCCTGTTCCTTCTTTGCCGTCGGCCTAGCTAGAGCCCGGAACCCGGGGTTAACTTGGTATCTTGATTGGCTAATGATTTTCTCAAGTCGAATTTGTATTCATATAATTCTACGTAAAGCATCTTTTAAAAAAATAGGACTGTGTTTATGAACAGCGTTAAATGGAATGGTGAAATAGAAAAAGATAGTGTTTGTTAAATGTTTATCTTTATATATGTGGAAAACCTGTGGGTATTTGTGAAGTGCTCGCGCACAATTTCGGCGCGTCTGATTAAACGATGATATCTTCGAAACTACGTTAGCACAAAATAGATATGTAGTGAAGTCAATCTTATTGTATGTATCTCACTTTTTATTATTACGCTTGGTGGTCGCACTGGGATCGTCGCCAACGCCGCTCTGTCAATCGCGCCCGTATAAAACATGATAATTTGAACTTCTACTTATGTAACTAAAACCAATACTGACGTCTTACTTTAGCGTTACACAAAACTGCGCCAACATCCATTGTTAAAATAAATTATTTAGTATATGTTGAATTTTAAATGGGAGATTATATCGATACTTTTGTGAAATGGTACGTAACTATGCCATATTGACATATTATTGTAAACAACAATTTTTTACTAAAACTGTCTCACAGCCAGAAATAAAAGTAAATATATATACTTTGGCAATAGATTAAAGTATCCGTGACTTTTTGTTTTTATCTATGTGGATTATTCTAAGTAATATTTGATGAAAACTGTTTACTAACCTATACAAAGACAATTGAGGTTGATTTTCGTTCTTTTTTGCACCACACTGCACAATACAACACACAGGCATATTGTTTTTTTGTTTCACTATATATATTTGAAGTTTAAAAAAAATGGTTCTTTGTAATTTACTAAAAAACCGCAATAATTTAAAACATAAACAACCGTTTGACACGACAACTACCATGAAACCCAGGTACTCTGAGCGCTTAAGATGGCGGACATGGCACTTACCTACAACTTTGCTAATGTCAAAATGATTTGTTTCCATATTAAGCAACAACTTAAATATTGTTGTCCCTTTTGTCTAATACAATTATTGCCTTAGAAAGAGTGAGACAAAATGATATTTCATAGTTTGTTTCATATTTCCCTCATATTTGTATAAGCATGTATACTTCTATAGTAACACGGCGCCTCTATATATTTTCTATCTCAATGATCTCAATGGCTATCCATAACAAAATGACAGCTATTTTCTGTGCCGATTCAAAGCGCCCCGGTGAGAGTTCTGGGAATTAATAAAATAGCAAATGGCCGTTGTTTGTTGTTTTTTTAAATGCGAAGTATCTTTGCGGAATAATACGTTTTTTAAAGTATTTTCTGCGATTGTGACATAAATTAAGTGTTATAATAGTGACAGTTATTGTATCATAGCTTCTATTAGTGGACCAACATGAAATCGTGCGTATATTGTAAAACACGATACGAAAAGAGCAGTGGTGTCACTTTTCACAAGTAAGTGAATCTAAAATATAAATGCTTAGTAGGAAACGCTTAAAACAGTGTATTCTTTCATTAATAAACACAAATAGTTCGAGTTTATGGGATTTTACGACCATTTTATAACCAATAACTTTTGATAGGGATGTTAAAGTTCATATCGATACTTTCGTATGGAGTAATAAAAACAGCAATGCTATGTTTTATTTTATTCATAATTAAAATATTTAATATTTTTAATATTTATTTGCGTCAAATACTACACAGCTTTTGATGGTTTATTATACAATTCACAAGTATTATTGGCAAAATTGTGGTGATTTCCACAAAGGCCTGAATAAAAATAATAATATGCACAATATAATGATCTCTTATAATAGCAAAACACTTCAAGGTTTATAATTATCAGAGTCAATAACAAATACTACCAAACCTAGATTTATATACCTACTATAATATTTCTTTTAATTACAGATTCCCCTCTGATTACACTCTGAAACTTTGGTTAAAAAATATGAAGGTCATCAATTGGACTCCAAAAATTTATAATTATCTCTGTTCTAAACACTTCACGGATGACTGTTTCACAAAACATCAGTCACGGACTACATTGAAAAAATGCAGTATCCCCACAATATTTCTTGGCAAGTGTAAATTTGTAGAAGTTGTGTAAATACTTTACCGGTATCTAAGAAATATTGTTGATTTGTAATAAAATAACACATTTTTTACAGAAACCAATTCATCCTTGTTACAAAAAGAGATGTCTAAAGAAGCTGATCAACCAACAGGATACCCATGCAAGAAAGATATTGAAATGAGCTTGGATGAATTTAATTCACCTTCAGGACCTGTACAAGTTAGGTTACTAAATGATGAAGTCCATCAAAAAGAAAGGTTGCCATGTGAAGCCCTAGCAGGTAAGTTATTTTAGAAAATTTTATAAATACTGAGCATGGCTTGCTGGAGTACTAAGTTTGCAACTAACAGAAGGTAAATACTAAACAATTTTTAAGAGGGTACTTGCAGTGAACAGAAAATTATGTACACTTAGGGGAGGCCTATGTGCAACATAATATCCACAACAGTGGACATCTTTCGGTTCAAATGATGATGATGACATACCTTTCCCAATATTTTGAAACATCTTTTCACTATATAATTATTATCTTTCTTTGAATAATATAAATAATGAAATATAATTTCTTGTTACAGTTCCAAGCACAAGTTACAACACAAGCTACTGTAGCACACCAAGAGAATCTAGAACTTTAGCAGAAATCATTTCTAGTGTCAAATTAGATCACCGCTACGTGAACACCCCAAATTCTTCAAAAAATGAATTGGAAAGGGTCAAAAGAGCCTTGAAAATGTCACAAGCTCGAATTAAAGTATTGTCACAAAATGTGAAACGTATGAAAACAACCGTGTCTACTTTAAAATCTGTAATTGCTGATTTAAAAAAAAAAGAAACTGGTATGTGATGATTGTGTTTATATATTGAAACAGTACGATTTTTTCAAACCACAACTTTTTAAAAGAACAACCAAAAATGTGAAACCTAAGTATGCTCTAATATTAATGAGACTTCAAAACAATGCACTGGCATTGCAGGATTTGTAATTCGATCGATATGAAAATAAAATGCGATGACTGTTTAATGGCATGTGAAACTGTACCACAAGATGCAGTGTCAAATAGGAGAAGTGGTGTAGCACTTATTATCCAAAAGCAAAGAGGTGATTTGACTGTGCCCTCTGTGAGTGTTGTAAACATTTGTTTTATGGTGGAATCATTATTCCGACAAACACTTAAATATAATAACAATAAGCCACCTGTCGAGTCTAATTTTTCTGCAGTACTTAGTGCAAAGGCAATAAGCAACCTTTTAACGAAAACCAATGAACTGTTTCCTGATCTAAAAAATCACTTGAGACAGTTATGCCTCAGACAATTTTCATAGTTACCTAAATGTTCTTGTAATAGAAATAATAACCAAATTATTGACATCCGTTTGTACGCAGAAACAAAAAAATACTCTTTATTAGTAACTGGAGAGAAAGTAACACATTTTTGACCCGGCAGATAAAATTGGCTCGACAATATTTTTTTAATAATAAAATATGTGTATTAAAAATGCTTTTTTAATTTCTCTGTCCCCTTACCTTGCAGTAGTTAAGCTGTTAGAAGTTAATTACCGTAATTACAGATCTAATAGAAATTATTTTGTCTATCGAGGGATATCTAACTAGTAACAAGTTAATACCTTTCCGTAAAGAGTGCATAATAAAATTTTATTGAGGCCATATAATTATTTTACAGAGTTTTATTATTTATTGATCCAATAGTGAACTTTTATCCAATCAAGAAGAACAACGAAATGAAAGAACGGGTCAACCGCACACGTGGTACCTACTGATTACAGTCCAGAAACTAGTAAATACTACTATTACAGACAAGTTTGTTGGTCTCGTAGTAAGTGGCTCAGTCTGCTATGCCGCAGGTCATGGGTTCGATTCCCATTCAGTTGTCTAATACCTATAACACAAGCTCTTCTTAACTTGTGACTAGATTCTGTTGTGAGATAGTTATTTAAGTCTGAACGTATTTTATGTTACAAACCATATTTTTTTTTAAATATCTTATGTACATATATGTCTTACGTGCGTGTAACATTAATAAAATTATATTACATCATGTTAATAAAATTTACCTAAACCAATTTAATATCAAAAATATCGTCGGTAATATTTTTGTATTTGTTGTCGATATCAGTAAAGTTTTTATCGATATCAAACCATTTGTCGTACATAACTAGTATTAGTTCCATTCCCCCTCACTTCTGCCGTCAGCGCCAAAATGGTGATTTTAAAATAGGCACAAAAAGTTGATAGCAATAGCCAGTCCAACGTTATTGTAGAGGTCAGTGCCTACATACAAACTTACACCTCTTTATAATATTAGTATAGATGAACGCGTTCCAAAACACGGATAAACAAAGAACAACGCATCAACTAAATTATTTTGATGTTTTCTTTTATTTATTTTCAAGATTTGTTTTTATCATGTTTCCTATTAATGTTTTAATTAGAATTTAAGTCTGTACATATACCATACTAATAAATATAGTAAGTTCAATTTGTAATTTGTGGAAACTTCCAACAAAACATGATTATTCATGTAACGATTTGTTACAAACTAAAACAATAGTAAATCTGCAAAATATTACTTTAATGTATTTGTTTAGGGAATACATACGCAGGGGATGCCAGGATCACTACACATTGTCATTGTATTCCTAACTTTGGAGATTTGGTTTTGGTAATGCTCTGAATGTAGCTTGTTATTAACTTGTCTGTTCTTGACCGAGACGTCCCCCAGTCCAGCGCACCCCCGAGTAGAGCCGCGTCCTAGCGCCGGTATCGGTATCGCTTGAAGTGGAACCAGAGCTGGAAGATGTTGTTGTGGAAGTGGCAGCGGAAACCGCGCTTGTACGAGTACTCCCACTCGCGGTTTACGATCTTGAATGCGATGTCCTCGTAGGGCGGGCCGGCGTGGAACCTCAGTACTGCGAAGTCTGGATTCTCGGGGCACGGTTTCTGATTGCGATAAATTCCTTTAGTATATTTTAACCATAAATAATTACTTAGAAGTGTAAAAAATCACATTAGTAAACAATTTACGAGTATTCATTGTCAGGTCCCAGTCGCCAGATGTAACTTACCAGAGAGAACTCCGGCGTAGCATTCTTGTCTATTAGGTCGGGATAGAAGATGTTGAACTTGTAACCTTGGACGATCTTGGGCGGAGGATTGTCCATGTCGTAGTGAGTCTGGTTATACTTGTTCCATTCGAAGCCCGTGTGTACTCTGCAAACAGGGAGGCACAGGTGAGACGGAGGGCGCGGGAGGACGGAAGGAGGGCGCGGCGGACGGCGTACCTGTTGAAGTAGCGCGGCTTGCGCGGGCGGTACTTGTCGGCCCACAGGCAGGGCTGCTCCGGCAGGGCGTGCTCCACGCTGAACTGCGCCTCGTCGGCGTCCGCGGCCACGGCGGCCATGGCGCGGCGCGCCTCGCGCTCCAGCGCGTCGGGCGCGGCGGCGGGCGCGGCGGCGGGCGCGGGGCGCAGGCGCGCGCGCAGGTAGGCCAGGCGCTGCGCGTCGTGCGCCGGCTCCGTCAGCAGCGTGGCGGGCTCCAGCGCGGCCGGCTCCAGCGGCGCGGGCGAGTAGCGCCCCGCCACGTACAGCGCCACGCACGCCGCGCTGCCCCACTCCGCGTCCCCGTCCACAGACCGCGCGGGGCTGGCGCCGCGCTGTTCCGGCCCTTCCGGGGCGGCCGGGGCGTCGGCCTGGCCGTCGGGCTGCGAGGGCTGCGCGGGCTGCGAGGGCTGCGAGGGCTGCGAGGGCTGCGAGGGCTGGTCGGGCTGGTCGGGCTGGGCGGGCTGCACGCCCTGCTCCTGCTTGAGCAGCTGCAGCTTGCGACGCAGGTTGGTCTGGTGGCGGTCGCGGAGGCGCGCGCGCGACATGTGCGCTGGAACGTTATACTCGTTATGTTTTACGTTTTTGCAGTGAGACGACCACTCCTCCCATCACTTTAAATCGTTCGAGTTCGTCCCCAAAGCACAGTGCAACACACGGCCGTGCGTATATCACTGTCGCAAAATACTGCATGTTCGTATTACTCTGACCTAGTACACTGACCGAATACTCGTCACGTACAACATACAATACAGCGTGCTACACCGTAGCACTAAGTAGACTTGGCAGGTCGGATTATACTAAATCAATAGGTTAGGTACCTATTACACCTAATTCTAGTATTTAAAAATACCTAATCCTAATATTAATTCAATACCTGCCCCTTGTTGTCTCGGACCGGCTGGACTCTGGCACTGCGTAGAGGTGTAGCCTCTCTATGTATTCTCTATGGCATTTATCATGGGGAGTGTTCTGAGGGAATTGTTCAATTTGATCTCCGCCGCATGTTTTCGCCATCGTTCCACGCGAAAACATGTTCATCCCCATCACATAGATGGTTGGCAGTCAACAACTGCGCGATTCACCCGAAACTTTCTGCCCCGCACAGCAAAGCTTTGGAATGATCTTCCGGCGGCGGTATTCCCGAACCGATACGACCTTCAAACCTTCAAGAAACCAGCATACTCCTTCGTAAAAGGCCGGCAACGCACCTGTGGCACCACTGTTGTTGCAAGTATCCATGAGCGGCGCCGATCGCTTACCACCAGGCGATGCGTTTGCCTCCTATTCCATAACAAGCCTAATAAAGTACACCAATATTATTTTATGCGACACTTAATCCTCCATGATTTCGAGGTGCGGACTTGTAATGAAAAATTCCTAATCAACAATATTGTATTTATCATAGACCCAATCTAGGGTAGGAAATATTCAGTTTGGAGTATCAATGTTCCATTTATAATACTTATACCCGGAATAATACCGATACGATGGGATCTGGACAGGTGGGTTATTTACTTTTTTTATGAGTAAAGGGTAGGTACTTCCTTAAATAGGGGTAAACTGTTGTCACAATTTTAAGATACTCAATATCTTTTGGGTGGACTGTGTAGCTATTGCAACTGTTTTGTGTCTTAACTAATTCTGGACGCTTTCAACTAGGTAGGGGTTCGCATCGTCAAATATCTAATCCAATATTTAAGCCTCACGTCTAGTATCTACTATTTATTAATATATAACTGCCCACGGTTTCGCTTAAATACAATTCTGGTTAAGAAGGTACAACACAGGAGGAAAGTGGGAACAGTAAACAGTATTTAATACGCCGCTGTATAGGCGGTACCTTTAAGCTGGCTGAGCAAGCTCTCCCAGTAGCCGACGTCGACGCCGTCATGGCGTCCGCTGATCTTCTGCTCGATCTGCGTCTGCAGCGCCTCCAGCTGCGCGCCCGTCTTGCCCTTGAATATCTGGCGACACAAGCAACGTACCATCACTGCGCCGACCATAGCTAACGTTGACATTATTTGTTTATAATATACAAGTAAAGACTAATAGTATCTGCCGAAAAAGCAATGCTACTGCATGTAATTTATTTATTTATTTATTTATTTATTTATTTATTTTATTTAAATAGAACGACAGAAGCCAATTACACTATTTAAACATTTGTAAAACACATTAACCTATTAGAACACATAAGAGAAACATATAACAAATAATATAATAAATCCATTAAACATGCACTTTACTCAATTCAGTCACGCATTCCCCTCACAAAACTTCAAACACTCTGACAGTATCGTCTTCCAGTCATCCACAAACACATCGAGCTCAGTGTTTGAGTTCAGGAGAGCGTTAATAGCCGCTAATGACCGAGGAATAGGTGACTTGGAGTGAGCAATAGTTCGGCTGGTCGGAACCGCCAACAGCCGATGCCTTCTGCCACGACTGTAATTGTCTGGGACAAACACGTTGCATATCTCGTTATGCAGTTTGGGATCATCAATAAGCCCTCTAAGTATTTTAAATACTACAGTCATCTGATCGCGCGAACGTCGTACTTCAAGGGAGTTGAAATTTAAGCATCCCAGCAGAAAATTGGTTGGATACAAATAGGGGTAAAACCCGTACTCGTGCTTGTAAAGGTACCTAAGGAATGCTTTCTGTACTTTCTCCAAAATTAACACATAATGCTTCTCAAAAGGATTCCATACACAGGCACTAGACTCAAGTTTGCTACGAACCAATGCCCCAAATACAAGCTTGATAACGTGGGAGTTATGGAAGTCGCGACAGTTCCTCAAGACAAACCCAAGACGTCTGAACGACTCCTTAGCAGTAGATTTGATATGGTCATGGAAAGTGAGTTTTGGGTCAAATATGACTCCCAGGTCTTTTATGGAATCAGTTCGTGTGATTGTATCTCCATTCAGTTTGTATAGAAAGTTAACTGGGTGCCGCATTCGACCAAAAGACATCACGTAACATTTTGATTTATTGAAGTCCATTTTATTTTCTGTACTCCACTTATACACTGAATCAATGTCTGATTGCAAAGCTTGGCAATCGAGCTCAGATTTAATTTCATAAAAAAGCTTTAAGTCATCAGCATATAAAAGGGATCTTGCATTCATAATCACATCGGGGAGGTCATTAATCATTAAAATGAAAAGTAGAGGACCAACCACTGAACCTTGGCTTACGCCCGAGCGAGTGTGATAAGGAAGTGACTCGTATACGCCAAAATGTCAAAAAGATGTCGTACGACAACAGGTGTCGTCAAAACTATTGCAACGGTTTATGTCGTTCTCGATAAAATAATTGTATAATAGACATAAATGTAGATACATATTAAATCGGACTCTGGCACGACGGGCCAAAACTAGTTTGTTATATATTGTGATAGCGGCGACATAAAGACATCCTCTGTTGATGGGCGACCTGCGTGACGTCGTCGGCGACGGCCTGGTGCACGCCGTCGCGGCGCGCGTCGGGCGCGGCCAGGCGGCGCAGCTTGCTGAGCTCGTCCAGCACGATGGTCTGCACGTCCTCCCAGTAGGCCTGGTTCGCGTTGTTCTCTAGCTCCTTGTACACCTACACAAAAACCGCACGTCACTATCGTCCTACGAGCGCTACGTTAGCCGCTCGTTTCCATACCTTAATATCCTCTAGCAGATCTTCCAGGTCCTGGCTCTGCAACCCGTTGAGGTAGGTGTACGGCTCGTGCATTTCCAGTGCATCTACGCATTCCTCCGAGCTGACGTACCACGCCAGTAGGTCTATGGGTTTCGCTGGAAAGAAACGGGCGGTATGAGGCGAGAAGGTCACAGAAATGAAGCGGGCGGTGGGCGGCGCGCTGGCAAACCTCGTCCGTCGCGGATGCGTATCTGCGAGCGCAGACGCGCCTGGTGCAGATGGAAGGCGTCCTCCTGGCGCGCCCACGTGTGGAACTGCAGCGCCTCGCGCGCGCGCGCCGCGCTGGCCGCCTCCGCCTCGCGCGCCACGCGCTCCGCCTCGCGCTCCAGGCGCCGCTGCTTCACCTGCGCGGGCCGCCGGGATTAAGTCTCGCCGTGCCACACACGGTACACTATGTTCTCGTACAATACACACATTATTATTACCTTCTCCAATTCTATTTTATTTTCCAACTGCTTTTGGCGGTTGAGGGCTTCTAGTTCATCACGAGACACAGTCTTGACACCTTCCTTTGCTAGTTTCTTGGTCCAGACAAAAGTGTTAGTGAGTGCAGAGTCCCCAAATGGATTGTCTTGATTAGTGTAGCATTGGTATTCATTATCCCAGCCCATGCGCTCCCGGCGCTTGCGCTCCTTTTCTTGTTTTTCTCGTAAACGCCGAGCCCTGGACGGATTTACATTTACGAATAGGTCATAACTAGTAAACTAATTCAGTTACTTATTTTTACCCGAGTTTGGCAAAGCCAAAATGAGGGTTTAATTTTGTCTGTTGTATCTGTGATATAAATTGAATATTCCTTGTATGTATTGTATGTATTACATCCACTATGATTAACATTTTTGGTGAATGTGCTCTAAAGAATGCAACAGTTCGAGATTGAAGCATAAAAACTATTTATTTATTAATCCCTCACAAGTATAATGACAGAATCAATATAAATAATATTTAAATACCCTCCATACTAGTGTTATAATTAATTAGATGAAAATCAATATTTAACATGCTCAAAACCCAATAACATAATACAAACTATATACTTTATGATATTTAGACGACAAGTGTGAGAGAGCCATGGTTCGGTACAAAAAATGAGCTGGCTTGACAGGAGTGATACCACTGTATCACAGAAAACTGGCAAAAAGCAACGCTAACCTTGTGTTTCCCCATGTGAGTGAGGTTACTTACTTGACACCCAATTCTTCCCCTCTCGCATCCTCAAATCTCAAATCCTTCCTCCTTAAATTCCTAAATAACCTTAAAAGTGTTTCTTACCATCAGGTAAGCCATATGCCTGTATGCAAAAATATTCTCCGTTCATATAACTATGGCAAGGCCTGATTAACCTTTTATTAATTGATCAAACCCCAAGCAAACACCAGTACTAGCACACCTATTCTTTTTCTATTGTGTCTCCAATTACCATGATTAGAAGGTTAAAACATCTTTCCTGAGATTGAAGGCTTCAGGGTATCTATAGGCATTATTTTAAAGTGATCAGATAGTATGAAATCACTGAGACACTTGTAAAATTAGACAGTTACAAGTGAGTATGTCCCACAACACAATTAATACCCTGAAATCATAATCATACCTCTTCTCCTCTGGTGTTTCATTTGCCTTTAGTTGTTCTTTCTGCTTTTTCTTTTCCTCTTTCAGTCGCAGTCGTTCTGCCTCAAGCCTCTGCAATAACTTCAGCTCCTCTTCATCGCTATCGCTACTGGAACTACTGCCAGACGATTGCCTTTTCTTCTTCTTACTCTTTTTGTGCTTACTCTGCTTTCTCTCTCTGCTAGTGGATCTATGCTTCGATGATTTTGGAGACTGGGACCGATTTCTCTCATGACTTTTATGCTTTTGATCAGATCGATGTTTAGAAGATGCACTTTCTGAACGCTCATGACGTTTAACTTCGTGTCGTGATGACCTAATAAAAACACATGAAGTAAACATCAGTATTATTTTTATTTAGAAATTACAGATTAGTACAAATTGTATACACATCATAGCTCACATTGTTTTTTTATGGAATAATAATAAAACCACAGTTCAAAAAAGTCACAACATCAAATACATTCAGGTGTAATAGGTTATTTTATCATTGGAAGAAAGTTAAAACTCCGAAAGATGAATGCACTACTGTTATCACTTAGAAATAATTGTATTATAACTAACATTACAATTTACAATAAGTAATCGACACTTTTATCCAAAGTGAAGTGTAGAGTCAGAAGTTGTAGCTCAGTCATATTATGTTATTGTAAATACAGATTATAGATAATCTATCATATTTGTCAAGGGATCAGACTGTCATTAATGTCGGCAAAGACGTTGTAGGTACAGTATAAGGTCTTTAAATGTCGGAGCTAGCCAAAGATATACTGTTATTCATAGCTGTGTACAATTTCAGAAACACGTAACAACTACCTAATTACCTATTGGCTACTTACCTATTAGGTACTACAAAAATGAATGATATATTAATATTTCTAAAATTAGATAGGAATGTATGTTACGTCTGCTGGTGCTTTATACACCTGTAATTTAGGTTTCATTGGTCTGAGCTGTAATTAGAGTTCAACTTGCGTGCGGAGAGAGACTTTTCGTTAGTGTCGGAGGCTCACAAAAAGTAAGACTTTTTTTTAAAGAGTTCATTTATTTTTTCTGTTTTGTACCTTATCTGATGATTATTTTGGCTAAAATAATTAAATCCAATAATATAATAAGTGATCGATTTGTAATAACTTAAATTATGGAGTCTAGTATAGCTACGAATTTAATAGACAAGTTATTTACTACTTACTTATTATATCTATGTATGATTGAGTAATAAGTTAAATACTGCTACTTTACCGCGACCGCCGCCGTACCGCTCTAATGTATTTCTGCCGATATATTTTGATGCGCAGCTACTATGTCCTATGTATACTCTGTATTTGATTATTGACGCGAAATGTCACCGTCATTGACTTTTGACTTTGACGTTTTAAATGTTGTTTTGTTGGCTGTTGTTGGTGTTGTGATATTAATTTGCCAGCCTTGGTATTGATGGTTGTCGGGGTCACGATGCACGTATTCTGTTAACTTTTAGAATTTGAAAGTATTTGTGGGGTGTATGATGATCTTAATTAGATTAAGTGATTAAGAGTGCTCTAATTGCAGTTTAGAATTTAATGTAATCTTACCTTTCAAACCTTTCTGTTCAATATAGGAAACCTTTAGAGCACAGAAAGTATAAAAATGTCGTTTTTACGCGGCTCAGAAAACTATGTGTGGTGTACGACAAGTGTCCTGGGCAAGGGTGCCACTGGCGCGGTGTTTCAAGGTGTAAACAAGAACAACGGGGAACCCGTTGCAGTAAAAACATTTAACCAGTTAAGCCATATGCGACCTCATGATGTCCAAATGAGAGAATTCGAAGTCCTTAAAAAAGTGAAACACGAAAACATCGTAAAACTTCTAGCAATTGAAGAGGAACAGGAAGGGCGAGGGAAAGTTATTGTGATGGAACTGTGCACTGGTGGCAGCTTGTTCAATATACTCGACGACCCTGAGAACACATACGGCCTTCAAGAACACGAGTTTCTATTAGTGTTGGAGCACTTGACTGCTGGCATGAAGCATTTGCGTGACAATAACTTGGTACATAGGGATTTAAAACCAGGCAATATCATGAAATACATCAATGAGGATGGGACCACCACTTATAAGCTCACAGATTTTGGAGCTGCCAGAGAATTACAAGAAGAAGAACAATTTGTGTCTTTGTATGGTACGGAGGAATACTTGCATCCTGACATGTATGAACGAGCAGTGCTACGCAAACCTGTAGGCAAGAGCTTTGGAGCCACAGTCGACCTCTGGTCTATAGGCGTAACATTGTACCACGTGGCTACAGGTCAGCTGCCCTTCAGGCCATATGGGGGCCGGAGAAATAAGGAAACCATGTTCTACATTACCACAAAGAAGGCATCCGGAGTTATTGCAGTAAGTCTTAATAGTATCATAAAAGTATCTAACACTTTATTGAGTAGCCATCATTGGTTTGGTGACCAATGAACCTTACCTAAACAGCAGGAATGAAGTCCCAGCTTTTTTTTGAGGGGGGAAAATTATTTAATAACTCTTGCTGGGCAAGAGAGTGAGGTGAGATGGAAGGTCTGACTCCTTTTACAGGCTAATCTATGTGTTTATTTTGTCTCTTAAATTTTCTTTGCACATGTGAATGAAACAGCCCCAGTAAGTGGTTAAAAACACTTGTGTCAGGGTTGCCACGCTCCACACTCCTCCCCTGAGTTACATTAATCTACTACTAAACTTACTGTTTGGCCCTATTTATGGTGGTTTATTGCCTTTTTGGCGACGCGCAGAACACTACGCACCGAGAACTCGGGTCTAGTTCTAGTGAGCGGCGATCTATCCTTGCTCGCCGTCTGCAGAACGATGCTTACAGTAGCTGGAAATCGTCGCTCTATCCTCGACGCCCTGAATGTCTCCTACAGCAGAGACTGGAGCATGTAGAGAATAGCTCGTGCGCTCAAGTGCTCCGCCTCCTACTTTGCTGAAAGGCAAGATGGCTTTCGAGTTCCTTTCGCTCCACACTATGGTTTATGGAATGTAACAATAATGTATTCTTTGACAGGGAACCCAAACCACTGAGAATGGTCCTATCGACTGGGCCCGTGACCTGCCATCGCACTGTCAGCTCAGCGTTGGCCTGCGTAAACTCGTCACACCATTGTTAGCCGGTCTTTTGGAAGTAGATCCCCACAGAATATGGACGTTTGAAAAATTCTTCTATGAAGTTCAAATAACCACTTCAACTACACCGGTGCATGTGTTTCATGTTAACAAGGCAGCAAGTATAAAGGTAATGCAAGTGCAATCATAAAAGATAATAGTAACGTACCGTAACTGCCAGTACGGTAATATCATTTCGAAATATCGTCTGTACTATGTACCTTGTAGTAGAGGATATCTGTAAGTACAACAAGTTACGTTACGATTGAGCGCTCGCGTTATATTATACACCAATGACACACTACTTACGGCAGATCTCTCGCTAGGTGTTCTTGAAGCCGGACGAGAAGTTCGAGCACCTGCAGACATACATCTGCGAGCAGACGAGCGTGGTCGCCGAGTCGCAGATACTGCTCTACAAGGATCAGTTGATACACACTGTCATCGACGACAACACGCTGGGTATTCTTTTCTAAACATACTTACGTGTTCTAGCGTGTCGTAACGCACCACTAGCGTATTTCATATTTTTATTTTGGTTAATGTACGAAACCGATGTACTAGTCAACGGCACGCCACAATACGTGACTATTTTTTCGCCTTTATTCGTACGTACGTTATAGTTGTGTATCAAAGAGTATAAAAATGATGTAAGCAGTCGTGTATTGTATCCCGTCGCTTTCCCGTTCTCCATTCGAGGACAAACGACAAACTTTCAGTTCTTATGCAAACTATATCATCGTGAGATTACAATAACACTTTCAAAAATTATGTAATATGCGGACAGAGGTCATCACTCTCTCGTGCTCATCAGGAACGTTAACAACCGGCAGGCAAGGAGTACCCGGAGACGACGGCGGAGGAGCCGCTCATACTGTTCAATAAGAACAATAACAACGTGAGCATGGCGCCGGAGCCCGAGGTGCCCAAGTTCCCGGTGTTCCCCAACATCGTGTCCGTCGAGAACGACGCCAGCCAGGCCAAGGTGAGTGAGGGCGCGCCGCCCGGCCGCGCGCGGGGCGGCGCCTGACGGACGCTGTGTGGCAGACGGCGTGCAGCGTGGGCCACGTGATCAAGCGGCGCGTCGAGGCGCTGTGCGCCGCGTCCGTGCTGTGCGGCGCGTGCGTGGCGCGCTGGACGGCGCTGCTGGGCGCGCGCCTCGCCGCCGTCGCCGCGCGCGCCGCCCAGCTCGCGCAGCACGCCTGCCTGGCGCACACGGCGGCGCGCGCGCTGGACCTGGCGCCCGGCGCCGGCGCGGGCTGGGCGGCCGCGGCCGGCCTGCTGGCGGCCGACGCGGGCTCGCTGCGCGCCGCGGCGGCCGCGCTGCTGCAGCGCCACGCGGCGCCCGCGCTGCGCGCCGAGTTCGACGCGGCCGCGCGCCTGGCGCCCTGCCCCAGCGACCTCCGTCTGCACATCAAGGCCAAGACCCTCGTCGACAGGTCAGCGCTACATCTACACTACATACGAACACCTATCTATTGAAGCATTCTAAACACCGAATACTTTTAAAAAGTGTATTACAATGATTGCTTAGGAAATGTAACTTTCACTTCAGATACTTAAATATTTTTTATTTGATCTGTCTTTGATCACTACGAAACGTCGCGTCGGCGCCATACCACGCCATTGTCAGCTATCAAAATACGTAGGTATTACTGACTACTGTAGTTTACATACGTAATGACGTTGACATCATGACCAAAATACAATCATGACGTCCGATGTATGCTGAGATTTTGCAAAATACGCGTGATATTAAAATTATAATAAAATAATTTAATTAATCTATATTCATACATCATCATCATCATCATCTTCCTGCCCTTGTCCCGTTTTATTTGGGGTCGGCGCAATGTGTTTTTTTCTTCCATTCTGTCCTGTCACTCGTCACGCTGTCGCTAACTCCTCTGTCTTCCATATCACTTCTCACATAATCCATCCATATTTTCTTTGGTCTCCCCCTCCCTCTCCATCCATCCACATTTATACTCATGACTCTTTTTGTTACATGCTTTTCATCCCTCCTTTTCACATGGCCATACCAAGACAAACGGTTCCCTTTCAACTTTTCAGTCACTGGCGCCACTTTCAAACTTCCTCTAATATACTCATTTCTCACTTTATCCATTCTCGTCACACCACACATCCATCTCAGCATTCTCATCTCTGCTACATGCAATCGCTTTTCATCCGTCTTTTTCAGAGCCCAACATTCTTAACCATACAGTAGGACAGGCCTTATCACTGACTTGTAGATTTTACCCTTCAATCTGAGGGGCATCCGTGGGTCGCAAGTTGTTCCAGTGACCTGTCGCCATTTCATCCATCCTGAGTTGATTCGATGTGCCACGTCTCGGTCTATCTCACCATTTCCTTGGATAAGCGAGCCAAGGTACCGAAAATCAGAACAGGTTGGTATGGGCGTTCCGGCGAGAGCTATGGGCACAGAACTAGAGAGACCGCCAAAATCGCAGAACTAGTACTCTGTTTTAGTTCTGCTCAATTTTAGGCCAACACTCTCCAGTCTATGCCACCACACCTCCAATCTGCTCTGGACCTCTAGGGCACTCTCGGCAACCAGCACAATATCATCGGCAAACAGCATACACCAGGGAGCCTCTTCCTGAATGTCCGACGTCAGAGCGTCCATTATTATCAGGAAGAGGTAAGGGCTGAGAGCTGACCCTTGGTGTAAACCGACAGCCACATTGAACTTGCTAGTGGTGCCCGCTGCAGACCGGACTTGTGTACTGCAGCGACTATACATTGATCGGATCAACTGCACATACTTCCCAGGCACACCTTTCTCCTTAAGGGCCCACCACAGAACCTCACGAGGTACCCGGTCGTATGCCTTTTCGAGGTCAACGAATACCATGTGCAAGTTTTTATGTGCGCCTCTGTATTTTTCGCACAACTGGCGTATAGCAAATATGGCATCCGTTGTACTACGACCAGGCATAAAACCGAATTGGTTCTGTGAAATGTCACTCTCTTCTCTCAGCCGCCGTTCAATAACTTAATAATATATATTCATACATAACGTAAGAAAAGACATTTACAGTTACATTAGGATTGAAAGGTTGACTGGTAAAGAATTCCATATAAATAGCAATTAATAAATAAATTAAAAACATGGCTCACTTGATAGTCATTAAAAATGAGTCAAATGTTGAGTGAGGTAGAAACAGCCTCAATAATAACAATGGCAAAAGCTAACTTAATGCAGTTTCGTATGTATGTGGCTGCAATAAAATAAAACTCATGTTTACCATCCGAACTAGATTCATTTAAACCTGTGTTTCAGGCCATCAATGCTTAGAAGAGTCGTCTGATATATTTTTTAAAATAATATATAATATTGCACAATTATTAAAGAGGTAAAAGGTAAATTATTAAAGTTGACTGAACTAGTTAAAAATTATTTAATTTACTAAAAGAAAGAAATTGTTTTAACACTTCTAGCAATTATTCCGTAATGGATTAATTGAGGTCCTGTCAATATTCTGTTAGAATTATATTTCTGTCTGGTTTGTAACACAAATGTCGAGCTAAATCCAAGTTCAGCACGCTGGAGTAGACCTACTACTACCATATAAATAGCTGGCGTAGTGTTAGCACTTTGCATTCCCTGTAAATCTGGTGGGTGGGGAGTGGGGAATCACACGGATGATCGAGTCCGGGCGCTGCTTGTTTTCTATTTAAAATGAAATAAATAAAAAATGTGTCGTTGCAGACTGCGCGAGTCGTGGCAGCACCTGGTCCGCGACCGCGCGACGCGCTCGCTCACCTACAACGACGAGCAGTTCCACGTCCTCGAGCGCATCACCGTCGCCGAGACCGCGCGCCGCGCCCGCGCCTTGTTGCAGCGCGCCGCCCCGCTCGCCCGCGCCCGCGCCGACGCCATCGCCGACTGGTCAGTCCACACGATCCCACACTTACAGTGCCACCATCTTAGTGCCACCGCGCCTTGCTGCAGCGCGCCGCGCCGACGCCATCGCCGACTGGTCAGTCCACACGATCCCACACTTACAGTGCCACCATCTTAGTGCCACCGCGCCTTGCTGCAGCGCGCCGCGCCGACGCCATCGCCGACTGGTCAGTCCACACGATCCCACACTTACAGTGCCACCATCTTAGTGCCACCGCGCCTTGCTGCAGCGCGCCGCGCCGACGCCATCGCCGACTGGTCAGTCCACACGATCCCACACTTACAGTGCCACCATCTTAGTGCCACCGCGCCTTGCTGCAGCGCGCCGCGCCGACGCCATCGCCGACTGGTCAGTCCACACGATCCCACACTTACAGTGCCACCATCTTAGTGCCACCGCGCCTTGCTGCAGCGCGCCGCGCCGACGCCATCGCCGACTGGTCAGTCCACACGATCCCACACTTACAGTGCCACCATCTTAGTGCCACCGCGCCTTGCTGCAGCGCGCCGCGCCGACGCCATCGCCGACTGGTCAGTCCACACGATCCCACACTTACAGTGCCACCATCTTAGTGCCACCGCGCCTTGCTGCAGCGCGCCGCCCCGCTCGCCCGCGCCCGCGCCGACGCCATCGCCGACTGGTCAGTCCACACGATCCCACACTTACAGTGCCACCATCTTAGTGCCACCGCGCCTTGCTGCAGCGCGCCGCGCCGACGCCATCGCCGACTGGTCAGTCCACACGATCCCACACTTACAGTGCCACCATCTTAGTGCCACCGCGCCTTGCTGCAGCGCGCCGCGCCGACGCCATCGCCGACTGGTCAGTCCACACGATCCCACACTTACAGTGCCACCATCTTAGTGCCACCGCGCCTTGCTGCAGCGCGCCGCGCCGACGCCATCGCCGACTGGTCAGTCCACACGATCCCACACTTACAGTGCCACCATCTTAGTGCCACCGCGCCTTGCTGCAGCGCGCCGCCCCGCTCGCCCGCGCCCGCGCCGACGCCATCGCCGACTGGTCAGTCCACACGATCCCACACTTACAGTGCCACCATCTTAGTGCCACCGCGCCTTGCTGCAGCGCGCCGCGCCGACGCCATCGCCGACTGGTCAGTCCACACGATCCCACACTTACAGTGCCACCATCTTAGTGCCACCGCGCCTTGCTGCAGCGCGCCGCGCCGACGCCATCGCCGACTGGTCAGTCCACACGATCCCACACTTACAGTGCCACCATCTTAGTGCCACCGCGCCTTGCTGCAGCGCGCCGCGCCGACGCCATCGCCGACTGGTCAGTCCACACGATCCCACACTTACAGTGCCACCATCTTAGTGCCACCGCGCCTTGCTGCAGCGCGCCGCGCCGACGCCATCGCCGACTGGTCAGTCCACACGATCCCACACTTACAGTGCCACCATCTTAGTGCCACCGCGCCTTGCTGCAGCGCGCCGCGCCGACGCCATCGCCGACTGGTCAGTCCACACGATCCCACACTTACAGTGCCACCATCTTAGTGCCACCGCGCCTTGCTGCAGCGCGCCGCCCCGCTCGCCCGCGCCCGCGCCGACGCCATCGCCGACTGGTCAGTCCACACGATCCCACACTTACAGTGCCACCATCTTAGTGCCACCGCGCCTTGCTGCAGCGCGCCGCGCCGACGCCATCGCCGACTGGTCAGTCCACACGATCCCACACTTACAGTGCCACCATCTTAGTGCCACCGCGCCTTGCTGCAGCGCGCCGCCCCGCTCGCCCGCGCCCGCGCCGACGCCATCGCCGACTGGTCAGTCCACACGATCCCACACTTACAGTGCCACCATCTTAGTGCCACCGCGCCTTGCTGCAGCGCGCCGCGCCGACGCCATCGCCGACTGGTCAGTCCACACGATCCCACACTTACAGTGCCACCATCTTAGTGCCACCGCGCCTTGCTGCAGCGCGCCGCGCCGACGCCATCGCCGACTGGTCAGTCCACACGATCCCACACTTACAGTGCCACCATCTTAGTGCCACCGCGCCTTGCTGCAGCGCGCCGCGCCGACGCCATCGCCGACTGGTCAGTCCACACGATCCCACACTTACAGTGCCACCATCTTAGTGCCACCGCGCCTTGCTGCAGCGCGCCGCGCCGACGCCATCGCCGACTGGTCTGGCGTAGACTGACGTGCACACATCCGTAGGTTTCTGCTATCTCCTGCTTGAAAGAACAAAATTATTTAGATTGCAATCTGTGTATGAAATGAAGAAAACGTCACTGAGTGAATAAACGGCAAGAACCTAAACAAAAGTGCAAACGGTCCGACACAAACCACGCCTAATTAAACACTATCACACACCGCTAGGCATTGTTTTGATTATTCAGGAATTTATTTAAAATAACTGACAATTGCACTCCCCGGCAAGGTGATGTGGTTATTATAGTGACTGTTTCACACTAAGAGTCATTTTAGCGTACTTCAAAAGAAATTGGGAAAATATATTAACAAAAACCACGTCTGCGATGAATTCGAGCGTCTCAAAATGATGACTTCTCCCTAGAAAACGAAGAGATATATGCGACTGTAGGTTGCGTTGCTTGTTGCAGGTACAAAGTGGCGCAGACAGTGTACCTGCAGACCCAGATCCTGGACAAGGACGTGTCCAGCGCAGAGCTGAAGCTGCTGACGCTGGCGGCGCGCATACAGGACGCAGAGCATGCGCTGCGAGGCCAGCTCGTCTGTATCTACTGCCCACTGCTGGATTACTGCTCTTTACATTACTATATACTCACTTATTTTGTGCTTATATCAGGTAAACTCGCCGAAAGCAGATACGAGTGGAGACGCTGGAGAAAAAACCAGGGAGATGGGAGGAGGAAATGCTCAGAAAAGCAACGGCGCGGGCGGCGTCACAGCGCGCGGCGCCGGCGTCCGCGCCCTGCTCGCCGCGCACGGCGACCTCGCCCACCAGCTCCGCGCCAACTCCGCGCTCCTCACTCGCCTCGCCGACCTGGCGCAGCAGTTGCAGCCCTAGCGGCCGCGCCGGCCTGGCGCAGCAGTTGCAGCCCTAGCGGCCGCGCCGACCTGGCGCAGCAGTTGCAGCCCTAGCGGCCGCGCCGGCCTGGCGCAGCAGTTGCAGCCCTAGCGGCCGCGCCGACCTGGCGCAGCAGTTGCAGCCCTAGCGGCCGCGCCGGCCTGGCGCAGCAGTTGCAGCCCTAGCGGCCGCGCCGGCCTGGCGCAGCAGTTGCAGCCCTAGCGGCCGCGCCGGCCTGGCGCAGCAGTTGCAGCCCTAGCGGCCGCGCCGACCTGGCGCAGCAGTTGCAGCCCTAGCGGCCGCGCCGGCCTGGCGCAGCAGTTGCAGCCCTAGCGGCCGCGCCGGCCTGGCGCAGCAGTTGCAGCCCTAGCGGCCGCGCCGGCCTGGCGCAGCAGTTGCAGCCCTAGCGGCCGCGCCGGCCTGGCGCAGCAGTTGCAGCCCTAGCGGCCGCGCCGGCCTGGCGCAGCAGTTGCAGCCCTAGCGACTACAGGACTCCAACAGAATGGACGTGGTGCTATATTGTAAAAGTTCCATTTAAGCAATAATAAATCAATTTATTTATAAGTATATGTTTATAAAATAAGTTCGTGCTCAATCGTGCAAATTAAAATCTATTATATTCATCGTCATCTCACCGTATATTGAGTGCAGTATGCGCATCACAGCGCAACGCCGTCCCTCCGTCGAGCTGTCTGCCTGCAGTAGGTGGATGCACACATATATCATTACGCGCGTCTTCCTCTGTATTATAGAGGAAGTATTTTGCCATGGCGGACAGCTCCGTGCAACCGGAAGGGCGCATTAAATGTATATATGTACATTCCATGCTTGATACAAGCATTAATTGTTTAGAAGCCGGTTTCAACATATGTAGTAACGGCTATGTCGTGGGACACAATGTCGCTTAAACCACGTAACTGCTTCGTCTTCTAGTAGTTCTTTTGTTAATTATACAATAATTAATATTAATGAAGCACTTACCAAATGGCGAACACAATACCGGAAAAGCTAGTGTAAGTATATTTGTTTCGTTAATAGTTTGTTCATACATTTTGCAACGTTTCAATAAATATTTACACATTCAGGGCTGATTTTTCAATGGTAAGATAAAACTTATCTGGGGAATAAGTATAATGCTGTCGCGCCAAAATGTTTGTATAAGACAGTGGCAGCAATAATTGTATGCCTCAGATAACATTTATTTGACTATTGAAAAATTGCCTTAGACGAACAAAGGTATTATTATTGTATTAGAATGAAATAATTGGTAATCTATTGCAAATACAAAGAAGTAAACTAAAGTTAATTAATTTTGAAGTGTTCTAGTTTGGCCACGATACGGTATGTATACAGTAACTCGGCCGCATCTTTAAAATAAATTCGGTACGTAAACAGGCGATAGAGCTACCGCCTCAGCTTACTGTCGTTTCTATAAATTACGTACCTACATACATACAAGTCAAAATACAAAAATACCGCTAAATACGTCAAATAAATGTATTACATATTAAAAGTTTCAAGCAAGTCGCTGTAAATCTCGAGAGCACACACATCGAGGCGTGCACTGAGCGAGCGACTGCAGACTGCCTAGTGCGAGCTTCTAAGTCGGTCCTTCAGTATTGCAAACTATTTGCATAGCGCGCTCCGCGACATCGCTGCAGTCCTAGGCTCCAATAAAGATATGTCGTTCTAACTTATATATCTAGTTAAATGGTGTTACGACCTATAGCTAGTTTAGCCTACTTATAGGGCGACACATCCATACAGATGATATGGTCACTTTACGCGATCGAATCTGTGATACTCGCACTAGGCAACCTGATGCTTCTCGACCACTATTAAGGGGACATGAATTCGAACTTCGCAATAAAAGTATACACCCTATAAGTATAAGTTGTGCGATATCTTGTATATTGTTTAAAACAATATTTGTAATATCAAATCAAAATATTAGATAATATAATTTATTATAATAATAACCCTCTGGTTTTATTTTACATCTATGCAGTTACTCGTGCCAGGTTTCACCCGCTGCACGGCCCTGATGATAGCAGCCTGATATTTTTCAGCCTACAGTCTTCATCGATAAATAGACAATCAATTTAAAATTCGGATAAAAAAACTGTTCCTGTTCGGCTATATAAAATATATACATAATACAGGCCATCACCATACCACGCAGATCACGAATTCTGAAAGTTTTTAGTGCTACCCCATTTACTGCAGTAAGTACGTTATACTCAATGTGTCAAAATTGACATCTAGAGGGATTAACTAAAAATCGCGGGTTACTTACGTGTATTCTTATATTGAGAAAAGCTCTACTAGTATCGAACCACAGAGGGGTTCTTCCTCATGAGCAGCGTGCGCGAAACTAGTAGGTTTTCTCAGTACATACACGTGAGTAACCCGCGATTTTTAGTTAATTTAGTACGTCTCACGATACCTAGTTATTATAAAAATCTAGAGAGATGCTAGTAAAAATATGGATCAAATCGAATATTGCTGAAAAGTTGGTACCATTTTTAAATCAGTGATTACCCATGACGCTAAATAGCTATTTATAAAACAGATTAGGTATCCCACTAAAACATTCAATGTAAAATGAGCCAAGTCTCTCTACGAAACTCTTCCATCGCAAAAAAGTTTAAGAGATCCCATAAGAAGCCCTTGTTTGCCTATATTATAATATATATTTATGTTCACGATTTTGACATGGATTGGAATTTGAGAGCAAAAGCAAAAAAAAAAATTGAGAGCACCATGGACTAAACACGCGCCATAGTGCATGTGTTGTTCACTGATCTTGGGTTATACTGCCGGTCAAGGTGATATTATCTACTTCGAATTCCTTAAATATGCAGTTTAATATTTGTATCGTATTGTGCTGCTGTATGTGTGTACCGCCTGCGCCGCCCCCAGCAGCCGCGTCACATACTTACCTACTCTTCCAGTATACAACAACCTATCTCAGAGTAGTTATCTATATCGAGTTTATATGTCACCTCTCACAACCTTTCCGAGGCCATGTGTTTCTATGGCCGTCGGAGCGCGCCACCTCCAGGTGGGTCCCAAATAACGGCGGGAGGAGTTACCATCGGCGTCGAGTTGGCGATGAAGTACCTGGGTCTCGTCCTCGACAGCCGATGGAACTTCACGGAGCATTTTCGTCGTTTGGCCCCTAAGTTAGAACGGTCTGGGGCCGCGCTCAAGCGGCTCCTTCCCAACCTCGGGGGGCCAAACGCCTCCTGCCGGAGGTTGTATATGGGGATTGTGCGATCCATGGCCCTCTACGGTGCCCCTGTGTGGGCGCCGGATTTGAAGCGGCGGCCGGCTCGTACGCTGGTCGCGTCCCAGAGGGTCATGGCTATCCGAGTAATCCGCGGGTATCGCACGATCTCCGGGGAGGCGGCGAACCTCCTTGCCGGATCACCGCCGTGGGATCTAGAAGCGAAGGCGCTCGCGCGCGTCTACAGTTTGCGCGCAGACGCGCGTCGCCGGGGCGAAGATCCTCTGCCGCGCCAAATTAGTGCGTGGCGGAATGAGCTCCGGCGAGATCTCATGGCAGAGTGGAAACAACGACTGTCGCAACCGAGGGCCGGGCACGCTACCATAGCAGCGGTAAGACCCCTCTTTGAGGAGTGGCTTGAGAGACGCCACGGCGTCCTCACCTTCCGTCTGACGCAGGTGCTTACCGGGCACGGCAGCTTCGATAGGTTCCTGTTTCGGATCCAGCGGGAGGAAACGCCCGAGTGTCGTCATTGTGAGGACCACTTAGAGGATACGGTGGAGCATACGGTACCGGTATGCCCTGCCTGGGCTGAGCACCGCCGTATCCTCAGGGAAGTGATCGGCGGCGGCGACCTCTCGCGCCCGGCCTTAGTCGAGACCATGGTGCGGAGTGAGAGGAACTGGGACGCCGTCTCCTCCTTTTGTGAAGCGGTCATGCTCGCAAAGAGAGAGGTGGCCCGCGTGAGGGAGCAATCCTCCTCCTCACGCCCCAGCAGCCGCAACTGGCGACACTACGGGCGTCGGGGATCGAGGGACGATCTCCGGCCACCGTAAGCACGGGCCTGCGGTCGGCGAGTAAGGGCAGCTCGCCGCCCGACCAGAACCAGGCCCGAGCGTACGGCGCGTAGCGTTCCGCGCGCGCCTCAAAGAGCCATTCGACCACCACAGACGGGGCCCTAAAGGGCTGATGTTCAGCCGGGGTTGCGGGGTAAGCGCATTGAGGTACCGCGACCTCGGCACAAAGCAGGAGAAGGAACAGGGGGGTTTTTAGTCAGTAAGAGTCTGACTCCCTCCTGCCCGGCCCTGGGCGGGAGAAGTCATTTGATGATTTTCCCCTCACAACCTTGAGAATAAAAGTTGCCAATGCCACTTCACGCCTGATTTCCAATTTGTAGTAAGTACCTACCACTTTATTCTGTCCGGATATGTCCCATATATTTTAAAATACATAAACCTGATGTATTGTAACCTAGCTTCATTTATTAATACGTATATTCAATACAGTATTACTATTTAATACTTAATAAAATAAATTGTTGTGTTTCACTTTTTGTACATGAACAAAGAACAAAGTTACTAATGCAGTCAACATTTATCTACCAGGTTCTTGTAAAACCGCAAAAAATAAGAATGTTTACTAAGGTATATAATTTATTACCTTTTTATGTTTCATATATATATATCTATCTATAATAGCTAAACTCATATCTTGGTGGCAAGTTGAAAGTTCTACGTTTCCTATATAAGAAGAAGTACCTTTGATGATCGGTCAGTGAGTCAGTGAGTGACAAAATGTTGTAACTCAGATCGCTCATTAAGTACTCGTTAACTATTAAGTCAAATGTCATGTAATTTTGAGACTGAGTTGGTTTTAATAGTTGCTCTATGTCATCCAAAACATAATCCCTTGTTTTGTCCGTATCGATGATATGGGGGGAGGGGGGATATATTAAAATTGCGCTTTAATAATATGCGTATCAACGTACGAAACAATAAACTGTTTGGATGAAATACTTCGTCGACTGATGAATTAAATTGAAAACACAAGACTGGGCAACATCTGATTTATTTGTAACTGTACAATGCATGCTGTGACATATTATACACTAATGGAATGTTTATCCTGTGGAAGGCACGAGATACCTACTATACGTACCTACCTATTATGTTTTCTCAATGAATTTTATTTTAATGCACGATGCGCACCACTTTAGCAGCACACAGTGTTCATTTTGATGCAAGCAGTTTTAGAAAATAATTATAACATTTAGGTTCTATACAAAATAATATATATGTAGGTATTTATAGAAAACTAAAAGTTAGTTATAGCCTACTACTCGACGGCTGTGATGTATTTATTGTACCTGGGTACCTACAGTCGCCAAGATACTCTGTTACGCTTACGATACATATGGTCAGCAACAGTTTCTTGGCCAGCAGGTACACCTACTCAAATTATATGTTTTGTTTTCATTTCATACCGAAACAATTAATCAAATCAAACATTAAATAAATATACTTTATTAGATTTTAGTCATTATATTATGTAGATATGTGTTAATATATGATTATAGTCCAATAATGTATAAGCAGCAGTTTCAACACTTATTCGGTCATTGTTTTGGCAGAAAGGAGTAGGTCGATCTGCTGGTCACTATACACTTGCACGGATGTATGTAGATGCGTTTGTGTGTTGGCAGACCCCGGCGCGTAACTCTGCAAGAATTTGTCGTAGTATTATATATTATACTTAGTACACTTACTGCAGCATACAAAGTGGAACATTTATTATTTCTCATAATTTCTTCCGTGAACGCATCTACCGAATCTTGCCAAGTTACGTGCCGGGTATCATAACCTAATAGAATTCCATTGCCACAGCTGGATATTGCAATGTTTAATACTGTGAGTGGTGTACACAGTCGGCGATATTTATCTATTTTCTGATTTAATTACAGTTCATTAATACAAAATAATATTTAGGTTTTCTCCTTGATAGATAAATTTACTCTCAAATAGTGTTACATTATTTATTATTATTAGCATAATGTAAATCTGTGCGTGGAGTAGTTATAAGCTGATCGAATAACACAAGAGTCATGGTGCTTACTTAAGTAAGCAAAACTCAGGCCACAGTCCTATATTTTTTTACAAATCAGAAGATTACGACTGTTATAGTAACGATAGTTAACGACAACACAATTATATAAATTGAGTAAAACAGGAACCCGTTAGTGCCCTGGTTGGTAACAGTACACGTGACATTTTACACTGAAGTAATGTTTAATACAAGACCACAGAACTGTCGGACGATCGCTCAGCTCGAAGATCAAATCGCACAAACTTACATGAGCACTCGCAGTAACACCGCCACCCGATGTGTTTCCTTCTGAAACAATAACCTGTTCCTAAATAGTGCTCAGTGAGCAGATATAATCCTCGACTATCGACGTGTCAGCATTTTTTTTATTTTAGCAAACTTAAACTTATTTTAGTATTTGGTATTGCATATTATACACTCCCTTTTTGAGGACCCCTAAGGAATATATTGTTTGTCCGTGAGTGCGTCACAGCAATTTCCTTCCGAAAAATAACACTGTTGAAACTTGGCAAGCAGATGTATTTTGCGAAACGTATCAAAATTTTTCTACAAAAATAGAAAAATGCAAATTTTAGGAATTTCCCATACTTAAAACTGACGTCTTGTTTTATCTATTTTCTACGTTGTACGAGGGGGGTCTCTGGGCAGATGTCATTTGAGGATTATCCCTCCATAAAAAAGGGCTTCTATTGATAATGATATTGAGCTTTCTAATTAATGTTTTATGCAACGTTGGCTTCTATAAGGGTAAATAGTTGGTTGCTTGTTTTTCTTTACAACCGTTCGAGCGAGTTTGGTCCGTACTCGGCCGTTTTTTGTGAGGAAATTTAACGAAACTCATAACTCAAGTATCACCTTATATGTATAGAAATACCATACCGTTCTCAATGAAGAAAGTTTAAGAGGGTCAATCAAGGTCCAATGGACAGATCGACAGCACGCGGCTCGTACGTAGTAAATTAGATTGGAGGATTATGCATGTTTCACAACGACGTATACATTATATTGCAACAACGCTATTGTTTCAGAAGGTAACTTCTATAATTGTATCGTAATATAATAAGAAGATAATAGTGTTGTAGATGTTGAGTGGTCCGTGTGATGCGAGCACAAGCGTAGGGAGCGCGGCTAGGAGTATCCTTTGTCCAGCAACTTGGCGCGGCTGCGGTCCAGCATCCGGTACTCGCGGTGCGCCGCCTGCACCGCGTGGAACTGCTCCAGCAGCGCCGGGAACGGCAGGTCGGCGGGCGCGGGGCCGGGGGCGGCGGGGCCGGGCGGGCCGGGCGGCGCGGGCGGCGCGGCCTGCAGGCGGGCGCGCAGCGCGTGGAAGGCGTCGCTCTGCGGCAGCAACATGAGCAGGCCGTACAGCGCGCCGCGCAGCGCGCCCGCCGCCTCGCCCAGCAACTCCAGGCGCAGGTCTGTGCACACGCACGCTCACACTCACACATTCTTTAAATCAAAGTTACACTACTTCGGCTGAACCCGCGTTCGTTACTTGTATAGTAAGTACCCGCGCCTTACACCAATGTCCGGAACGGCAACAGAACTGCTGTGCGGTTCAACGTTGCACGGTTCACTCGTCTCATATAGGTAACTGATGTAGTGTACAAGTCAGCCACAAGGTCAGCAACAGACTACAAGCTACTCACATGCAAATATCGGGGACTCGATGAGTTGCACCAACTTGTCCACTTCAGTGAGGAAGTCCACTGTGATCTCTAAATCTCCGCTGATTCATTGTCAAGGATTCATCATGAGTGTAACGCGTGGCACAGGTCGGCAGAATAGTGTAAAGGATACAAGGATGCGATGAGCGTGTTGCAGTGCTGGTAGTTGTGAGTGAGCAGACACAGCGCCAGCAGCGACACGGGCGAGTGGCACCAGCACGCGTACAGGCACAGGAACAGCTCGCGCGTCGCCTGCAACGCGGGCCCATGCTCAAGTTATAGCGTAACCAATAGGCGTTTCGAGTGTGTGTGTGTGTTCGCTCACGGGTTTGTCGAAGTGTCGCAGCTGAAGGCGCAGGTCGTAGAGCTCGGCGGAGGTGAGCAGGATAGTGTTGAGGACGTCGACCATGGTGGCCACGAAGCGCAGGTTGCGCTCCTGCAGCAGGATCTTGGCCAGCGCCTTGTAGATGTCCTCCGCGTTCAGCAGGATGCACAGCTGTCTGCCACAAACCGCTCTGCTCACTACCCACTCCTACTCTAATATATGCTTTTTGTTGCAAACACTACCTACTCTTTGAATTCTGTTTCATGAAATGAAAAGAAATATCTACAATCCAATCAAAAACATAAATGTGAAATGGGAGCCAAGTTTAATATTATGATAAATGCCTTGGTTGTTAATTGACTTCAACTACAAAAGAAGCGAGATCTAAATGGGTGCCAAGTTCAATGGTCTGTCCTGAAATTTATTTAACTATTGCCTATATTATAATACTATACCTACTCAGTAAAGAAATTGTAAAAATAATATACCTAAAACTTTCCCCAAACAGCTCAACGTATGATGCCCCCTTGTCGCTACATGCTAGCGGCCGTTTCCGGGGGCTCATTAATTGAGTTTGCCAGTCACCCCCTGCCTATTTATCCGTATGTATCAATATTGGTCAGGGGCAGGGGCCATAGTATTTCCATAGTTATCATATCCACCAGTCGATAGCAACTCATACCTATAACCCTATCAATTTATACCACATTTCACAATAGTCCTGCATCAACCGGGGATTGTCCTTGGGTGCACTTATAATAATGCATACAGGGATAATTGCCGGCTGATGTCCCATCACATTTAGATTAAAACTGTTCAACGGGCCTCTGCGAGTTGGCTTCGGCTCCTCGTACGCCTTCCAAAGGTCCGGGACCCTGTGGTCCCGTGAAAGGAAAGAACAAACATATACCTAACAATAAATTACCAGCATTCCTTAAGAAAAATTATTAGGTATTTCTCAGCATAGATCGCAACCTTATATGTCAGATTATTACCATAACGTCGTTATTACGTTAACCTACGTTAGGTACCTTTAGTAATAAATATGAAAACCGACTATAAGTACCTACTCTTCGTTGTAAATAAATAAGTACACCTAGAAACTTACCTACCTACTAAAACGGAAATACTTAAGTAGGTACCTACATTACTGAGAAAATAACTTACCTACTGATTGTTATTCTTACATCTACATATATTTAGGTACACGCACTAATTAGGTAATTTATGTTAAGCTTTCATTATAGAATCGAATTATTTAAAGATTGATAGTGTTTTATTTATTCCTTTGTATTCATCTAAATCTGCATTCATCTAACTACCATAAATTATTCAGATGGATTTGGCCATCTCAATAAACTGCACAAATAACTTTGTAGTCCGATATAATTGTATAGGATTACAAAGTTATTTGTGCACTTTGTATAACTGGGAAACTGGACCAAAATACCAAAATGTTTTAATTTTTCTGTTATGTGTACACTATACTCGGAATTTTAATTCCATTCCAGATTTGACAATTTCAGGGTTGCAACGTTATGACACGTACTAAATAGTGACGTTGCGAAATTATTCCATATGGAAATCGATTATTTCTGAATCGATTCCTCTCGTTTATAAATTAAACTAAGTTTATCAGGAAATAAAATATTTTTAAACCGATAATTTAGTTTTGACAATTAATTAACGATCTGAGACTTTTCTTTTGTAATTGTGTGTGAAATCAATAAAAAATGTGATCATGAAGGCACATGACAAATAAAACAGACCTTTTATAAATTGTCGCCGTCATTGCTATCGCTATATCGCTGTTACTTTCTGTAACATTTATTATGAATTGTGTCTGTGATATTTATTGTCAATTAACATATCTAGCTTACTAATTTTTTTCTCTTCTTTGACAACATGGGATACGCATTTAGACCATTCGGTAGCCGTAATTTTTTGAATGCCTTCCTGAAACTGATTCACTGATTGTTTATCGATTTTTGTGTTCATCACTACACTGTTACATGTGGTATTATTATTTCACAAAATGACAGCAGGTCATGTCAAATCAGGAATCGAATTAAAATTCTGACTATAGAAACTACTTGTATTCTAAATTTGACTCTCTAGGTCACCTGGAACTGGGTTAGAATTTTGATCTGTATGTCAGTCAGTCAGTCAGACAGTCAATGATAAAAAAAAGGATTTTTGGACATTAATATCTAAATAACCGTTTGAGATAAGATTATGAAATCTCAATATATGAGCCAAATTTGATACGTTTATGTGAAATAGTTATTGATTTATGAGGGGGTCAAAGGTGGCTCGAAATGGTTCGTGTAATATTACAAACGGTGCGGCTCGCCAGATCTGTTTCTTGAACTTGGCTTGACAGGCTCCCGTGTGTCTAGATGTATATTTCTGAACGGAATATGGCGCTCACAGTGTGCTTATGATATGAATGCGGAGAGGCTGTAGTGAAGAGTGGCGCGTAGTTACCTGATAATGAAAGCGCCTCTATCTTCCAGGAGATTGACATCGGCCGCCAGCAACCGCAACAAGTCTTGCAGGAACTTGTAGTAGTAGGGACTCGACTCCAGGTCACCTGCCCAACCACAACTCACGACTCAGTTTCTATACATGTGGAGTCGGCCCACATCCATGCCGTACAGGTGAGTACGCACAGAGTAGAGGAGGGCGTGAGTACCTGGCGTCGGCGTCGCGGCGCAGGAGCAGAGCTCGGCCAGCACCGCCAGGGCGCGCCGCACCACCTCGTCCGCCGCGTCCGTCAGGCTGCCCAACGCGCCCACGAACAGCTTGTCGGTCTGGCTCACCATCTGTCACACCACACCACACTACATACACACCGCGCCCACGAACAGCTTGTCGGTCTGGGTCACCATCTGCCACACCACACCACACTACATACACACCGCGCCCACGAACAGCTTGTCGGTCTGGGTCACCATCTGTCACACCACACCACACTACATACACACCGCGCCCACGAACAGCTTGTCGGTCTGGGTCACCATCTGCCACACCACACCACACTACATACACACCGCGCCCACGAACAGCTTGTCGGTCTGGGTCACCATCTGCCACACCACACCACACTACATACACACCGCGCCCACGAACAGCTTGTCGGTCTGGGTCACCATCTGCCACACCACACCACACTACATACACACCGCGCCCACGAACAGCTTGTCGGTCTGGGTCACCATCTGTCACACCACACCACACTACATACACACCGCGCCCACGAACAGCTTGTCGGTCTGGGTCACCATCTGTCACACCACACCACACTACATACACACCGCGCCCACGAACAGCTTGTCGGTCTGGGTCACCATCTGCCACATCACACCACACTACATACACACCGCGCCCACGAACAGCTTGTCGGTCTGGGTCACCATCTGCCACACCACACCACACTACATACACACCGCGCCCACGAACAGCTTGTCGGTCTGGGTCACCATCTGCCACACCACACCACACTACATACACACCGCGCCCACGAACAGCTTGTCGGTCTGGGTCACCATCTGCCACACCACACCACACTACATACACACCGCGCCCACGAACAGCTTGTCGGTCTGGGTCACCATCTGCCACACCACACCACACTACATACACACCGCGCCCACGAACAGCTTGTCGGTCTGGGTCACCATCTGCCACACCACACCACACTACATACACACCGCGCCCACGAACAGCTTGTCGGTCTGGGTCACCATCTGTCACACCACACCACAATACATACACACCGCGCTCACGGACAGCTTGTCGGGCTGGGTCACCATCTGTCACACCACACCACACTACATACACACCGCGCCTACGAACAGCTTGTCGGGCTGGGTCACCATCTGTCACACCACACCACACTACATATACACCGCGCTCACGGACAGCTTGTCGGGCTGGGTCACCATCTGTCACACCACACCACACTACATACACACCGCAAGCACAGCTATGTATAGGTGTCCCTGAAAGGGGATCAAATCGAGTGGTAATAGAGGAGGTCATTTCCTACTCCTATTTCACTTTATTTCCTCAACGGTCCAACAGTTCTAACCAATTTTTGTTTACTACTAAACTCGAAATAAAAAGATATACAATTTCGGAAGGTTTTTACGCTGAAGTTGATTTACGCTTGTGGTTGCTGAGTGCGTGTGTTCCCTTCCTTCGATCACGTCGACGTATTTGATCAACAAATACATCGCCAACAGCTCTCGGTCGAGTGAAGAGTACCTACTTCCAGTGAGTTTTGCTGAAAGCTTTAGACAAACAACCAAGAGGTTGCCACTTGTCTTCAATTTTATGTTGTAGGGTAGAGCATAAGAGTGTAGTTAAAGGTTCGTCCCAACGGGCAATCGGGATAGCATTGGAGGCCTCGGTTCTTCACAAAATACGAAATATCTAAACAAAACGAAATTTGGTCAAACGCTTGAACCAATAAGAATTGGACCAACATTCATCATCATCATCGTGTAACTTCCCGAACGCCGCCCATCCGTTTTGGATTCTTCGGGCGACCTCTTTCTCAAAGTTGGACCTACCTAGCTGAATGATCTGACCAAGGTATGTGTAACGGTCAACAACTTCAAGGATGTCGTTCCCAACAATGACCGGTACAGGTGCAACATGGACTTGTCCATGTTCATTTTCAGATCCATCTGTTGGGAAACGACATCAAGGTCGATGAGCTTGGTGTTCAGGTCCTCCAACGACTCTGCCAAAACGACTATATCATCGGAGAAGCGCAGGTGAGTTATGTATTTGCCATTAATATTGATGCCAAAGCCACTCCACTCCAAGAGTTTGAAAACGTCCTCCAATGCGTTCGTGAACAGTTTCGGAGAAATTACGTCTCCCTGCCTCATGCCTTTCTGCAATTGGATTGGTTTTGTGCAGTCGTCCTGGAGCCGAAGGAGCTTGGTGGCGTTTCTGTACAAACACCTAAGCACGTCGACGTATCTACAGTCGACATGGCATCGTTGGAGAGACTGCAGCACTGCCCAGGTTTCGGTTGAATCGAAGGCTTTCTCATAGTCCACAAACGCTAGACACAATGGCTGAATATACTCCTCTGTCATTTGTATAATCTGGCGAAGCGTATGTATGTGGTCTATGGTGCTAAAGCCTTTCCGGAACCCGGCTTGTTCGGGAGGCTGGAAGTCATCGAGCCTGCGTTCGAGACGGTTCGTGATGACCCTCGAGAACAGCTTGTACACATGACTCAGAAGTGAAATAGGTCTGTAGTTTTTCAACAAAGTGCTATCTCCCTTTTTGAAGAACAGAACTACAACACTTCTTTGCCATGATTCGGGCGTACTACCTTCGAATATGACGGAATTAAATACCTTTTGGAGGACTAAAAGTATCGGTTTCCCACCCGCTCGCAGAAGTTCTGTTGTGATTCCGTCATCGCCCGGTGCCTTGTTGTTTTTAAGCTGCTTGAGGGCCATCCTAATCTCGTACAGGCTGATGTCTGGGATATCCTCAGTGTAGTGTCGTGTCAGCTTAGCTCTTGGGTCCCGAGCTGCACCGACAATGGATTGCCGTGTTGAGGTATACAACTGTCCGTAGAACCTCTCGAGTTCTCTCAGAATCTCCGATTTCGATGAAATGATGCTACCATTATCGGTCTTCAGCCTCGTTATTTGGCTTTGCCCAATAGACGATTTTTTTGCGAAGACTTTTGTGCCCTGGTTTCGCTTCGGACCAACATTAACGTTACAAAATGTCAGGAAATAACCTCTTCTATACCCTCGTTCAATTTGATCCATACTTAACACCGCGGAAGTATCGGTATATACGCAGCCCCAGTACCTGCGCGGGCAGCTTGTTGTAGAGATGTAGGATCCAGTCCAGCGCGGCCACCTTGGTGCTGACGGAGCTGTGGTGCAGCATCTGCGTGAGCACGGCCACCACGCCGTCCAGCTCCAGCTGCACCGCCTGCCCCGCCTCGCCCGCCTGCCCCGCCTCGCCCGCCTGCCTCGCCTCGCCCGCCTGCCCCGCCTCGCCCGCCTCACCCACCTCACCCGCCTCGCCAGACACCACCAGCTTCGTCAGCTGGAAGTTGACTATCACCGCCGTCTCACGTATGCCTAAACGACATGATCAAGAGAACGTGAGAATAATGAATGTAGTTGTAAGAAACCAAGAGGTATCAGTTAGCTTGTTAAAGGATACTTTTGCGAGGTTCGTCAGAATATGCGAGGCACGGAAGCACGGCGCACAGGATGCCGGACGCGTACGGCAGCATGGTCGCGCCCGCGAGCTCGACAAACTCTTTGATCCATGTTATTGCTGTCAACTGGAAACCAAACACAACACCTACTTAGGAGATGCACACAAACCGGCCACCTTGCGGTGCACCGTAGCTGACTTGACTCATTATTGCTACTTCTTTTTTAATTACAATATTAGTATTAACCTGTAACATTTCCTCAGGCGACTGCGCATGCGTGATCAAAATGTTGATCATAGCTTGAAAATCTACCCGAGACGGATCCTTCTTTATACTTCTCAAAAACTCGTTCAACTGGACGTCACACCTGGACAAACACAAACGACACAATGAACCACTGTCAGAACACCAAGCGGCAAGCAGCAATTAACAATGGTAGGTACAACAACTGCTACCAAACTACTTGCTATGCTTACATCCTCCTGATCTCGGCGTTGGCGTCGTCCAACATCTTGAAGAGTCCGTCGAGCAGCTCAGGGAGGTGCACGATGAGGTCGATGTCGGGCACGGCGTCCAGCACGGACACCCACGACACGATGAACTGCCGCCCAAACGCGTTGCGCGTGTAGATGCGCTCGCGCAGCATCGGGATGAAGGCCGCCAGCTCGAACGTCTGGCTCTCCGTGACTATATCCTGGACGTTAAGGGTTGATTTATTGCACAAACAACTCTAATTCGTTGCGGCTTGCTGTGTTAGGACTTTCTATATGCGGTAATCTGCGCGCAAACTTCACTTGCGCGATGTACCTACGAGTTATGCCTTCATCTAGTTTTTAACCGACTTCAAAAAAAGGAGGAGGTTCTCAATTCGATTGTATTTTTTTTTTTTTTTTTTTTTTATTTTTTTTTTTTATGTTTGTTACCTCAGAACTCCGTCGTTTATGGACGGATTTGCAAAATTTTTTTTATGATTGAAAGGATATGCTTCCAGATTGGTCCCATTCTTTTCAAAATCAAGTTTTGATGATGGGATCCATGAGAAATCGAGGGAACTCCTCAAATATTATAGGCAACTATATAGTAATTTTAATATTTTCATAGAGCACTCAAGCATTTACAGTCAAAAAGTAATGTTTGATGAGGTGGAACTGGTGAAGAAGATCAGAAATGGATGATGAAACTTGACACTCGCATAGATATCACAATCAAGGTAGTTCAGCAACTATGAAAATGCACTGTAAACCAATGATCTTAAATAATTATGTTGGAAATGTTATCATCGAACTGATTTAATGATGATTATGGAGCTGGAAGGTAGGCACTGGAACTGCGTACCTAATTAATATATCCTAGCCGTGTTTGGGCTTGTTAGAATTGTTATAAGATGCACTTTGGCTGTAAGGTACTATTGAACTGATGTGATGATGAAGCTGGAAGGTTGGCATGGGGCCTAGTATTGTGTAAGCTTATTAGAGCTGTCAAGAGCAATGGAAAGGGCTATGCTCATAGTTTCCGTGCATGTTCGAATCAGAAATGAAGAAATCCGCAGAAGAACCAGCGTCACCGACATAGCCCGAAGAAATGCCAAACTTAAGTGACAGTGGGCACGGCACATTGCTCGTAGAACAGATGGCCGATGGGGCCGAAAGGTTCTAGAGCGGGACCGCACACCTTTGGGGGCGGAGTTTGGCCTAGTATTGGCTATTTTGCATTAGTCCACGTGGACTGCGTTTACACATTAGTGGTGAAATGCGTCATTGTGTTCTTATCGTTTTCCTGGTAATAGGCTAAGAGAATTAATTGGCATTTTTAACAAAACAGTCGTTTTAAATGGGTTACAAAACAATAATTGCGTCGTACAAAACAATAATTGTGTTTCTTTTGTGTGCACATATGTAGATAATACTTACTTAAAAAAGGTTCATACATTGAATGAGTCATAAATGTATATTTACAATAGCGATGGTCTTTTATATTTTTACCAACTTGTCTATATATGAATGTTCTTAGTAATAACAAAATAGTATTCTTCATTTAATGGGTTACAATTGATACAAAACAATAATTGCATCGGTCTTTTTTCTATGTACGAATGTATTTAATCATAGATACTAAATTAGATTGTATTTGGTATCTTTGAACTTTATCTGTCTGTTGATGAAAATATCTAGTTTTTTGTTATTTGGCGAGAACTAATATGAATTTATGATAAGATTATTATTTTATTTTAACTATAAGTCATAAGTATCTCATGCATCATATCATCTCTCCTCGAGATCAAAACGATTACACAGTAATAATGTACTATGATATGTATTTCTACGTATAAGTATGACATTGGTAACTTTTTCAAAAGAAATGTAGGAACGATATTGACTTCTTTGCCATAACACATTATAATAAAAAAAAAAACACTAAACGGCTACAAATAAAAAAAATTTTACAAAATAAAAAAACCGCCTTCAAAAAAAGTCAAGCAATAAAAGTTCCTACACTAAAAAGTAAAAAATAACAATTTGAATTACTGTAAAAAAACTTAATTTATAGGTAAACTTATTTGACATTAATATTTTGCAAATATTCAAAATTTATTACTTATTTTTGGAGTCGGTGCCAGCCCATGCAAGGAAATACAAATGGGCAACAATCCCTTGAAAAACTACCTCTTACTTAATTATAAAACTACTTAATACCTATTTGCATACTCAAATATAGGTATATTAATTAAGACATAAATACAGATTAGACTTCTCTACAAAAAATGTCCGATTTGCACATTTTTTTAAATAAAAAATATGTACTTACAAAAACATTTTAAGTACATTGAAAATGTTTAAGCATTATCTACGAAAAATGGCATCGGATATTAAAAACCTAACTAACATTAAGTTTCAACATCAAAATGCTGGCACCGACTCCAAAAATAAGTAATAAATTTTGAATATTTGCAAAATATTAATGTCAAATAAGTTTACCTATAAATTAAGTTTTTTTACAGTAATTCAAATTGTTATTTTTTACTTTTTAGTGTAGGAACTTTTATTGCTTGACTTTTTTTGAAGGCGGTTTTTTTATTTTGTAAAATTTTTTTTACATATAATTTTAACGAGTAAGACTGCTGTTTTATGGCGTATTTACAAAATCCTTTTTTCATATGACCAATCGATTTTTTATCATCGATCCATTTAGAAGTAATGATAAAGAGTTACCTTGACGAGCCTATCGAGTAGCTCAGCGCCCTGCTTAACCTGCGGCTCGGGGTCGGCGGCCAGGCGGGCCAGCGCATCGAACACGAGCGGGAAGTGCGCGAGCGCCTCTCCGCGCGCGATCTTTAGCACGTTGAACAGCGCCTCCGCCGCCTGGTACCGCACGCGCGACTCGCTCTCACTGAAGCACGCCACGATCGGATGCACCAGCTCCGGCAAATAGTCGATGCAACCCTGGATAGACGCGTTCTGTGTAATGCCCGTTACTGGGCTATATGTATTAGACCAAATGATGGACTGATAACGACAGGACTATTTGGTAAAGCGCAAAGGTTTATTTATTTTTATTGGGTAAAATCTGATTACTTCTGACTAAACCTATGTATCCGCTTTAGCTCAGGTGAATAAACAACTCATTCAGTGCTCAACCTCAAATTATTCTAAAGGAAGGAAACAAAAGTTTTTGTCGAACGAACCCCAAGGTTGTTAAAATTCGTTTGAGGAAAAGTTAAAACGTAGATATAAGAACATAAGAATATCAAAGATTAGTTTTCTACATTAACTTTACTTGATTTACCTCAAATTTTAAAAAGGAAGGTCACCTTAATGCTTATTATAAGCCTTTTAAACTACCTACATTACAACAAGCCCTAAGCTGAGGATATTTCAGCGCAAACAAATCCTATGAACCGAGGGTTCTCTTTAAAGTGGTTGGGGGTCCCTCGCGCCAATCGTTGTCTGTCTCCGCGGAGAACCGAAGGGTCTCCATTCAAATTGGGCTCAAAAAACGCCCCGCGTGTGCAATCTCTGCGAGCCGCCATTAGAAACAAAAACAACTGTGGCTAGCGCTCGAGAAGCGGCAGCTATCTACGCACCACTCTAAGTACCTATATCTCTTAGTCTGTCCCAAGTCCTATCCTGCATCACTTCGGATACCCTTGCGTCGGGTGTAGAAGTATACCTCAATACCCACTTACCCTACACTTGATACTAACATAGCAGTTAATTGACAACACAAATAGACAAATGCTAGGAAATATGTGTAAGTATTTAATCATTTCATTTGCCTATTTGTTGTCCATAAAAAGATTATAATTACGAAACTTTGTACTTCTGCCCAGGTTTGTTGAGACGTGATCGAGCCTTTAAAAAGGTTGTTATCACACCATACATGACATAATATTATGATTTAGAATAATGTGAAATAAAAATAGTGTAGTAACCAACAAAACAGACTTGGACAGATAACACATGAAATGTGTGTGTAAATTATCTTCTATCAATATCTATTACATTATTGATAGATATTGAAATGAAATGATTTTGTTTTGTGTTGTAAGTTTCAGTGTTGTAATGTTTCCACACTCAACTGATCAAGGCGCCAGCTGCTTCTGTAGTGTCTCATGGAGACCATCTCTCCATAGTCCAATGGCAATAGTAATGTAATAACTGACCTTTCCTAAGCCCACGGCCACAGAAGAGAGTCCCATGAGGGCACCATTCTTCACATTAGGGTTGGTGGAGGACATCAAATCTTGTCCGAGCACTCGTATCAGCCTCTTTATCTGGCTAGTGTTCTTTGCATCACTAAAATCTTTTACCATCCTGCAAATATTATGCATTATTTATTTCAATATCTGACTTGGACCATCAATAATATATAAGTATACTATATAAAATAACATAGAAAGTAGTTAGAAAAATCTTCAATACAAATATGTAGCAATTTGTTGCAGTGCAGTGTGGAAGTATTTTCGTTTTTAATTTGTCTACATGATTCATCACACCTTCTTATACCCTTACCTATAGGATTGGCAGGGTTAAAAATTATAGGTATACTCAGATCTTTTATAATAATTATTATTTGTGTAAAGAGATTATATTATTTAATTATATAAAAATCAATGCCATATTTCGTTGTAATTTTATAACTCAACAATACCTTTACTGATTTGGCTAATTTTGGTCTTGAATTATTGATAGAAGTCCAGAAAAGGGTGGTACACAGAGAAAATAATAAAAAAAAATACATTTTTTTATGAGTATGCCTTATTATACACAGCAAAGCACATACCGGGTCACTTGTATAAATATATATTAATATTTGTAATTGTTGACATTATACAAATCCTCAATTTTTACATTTAGGTATTCTTCAGTTAAAATGTGCTATTGGAAAATAACATAATGATGTAACTTATAATAAATATAATGTTATCAGAGAACCAGTTGTTTATACAAATACTGTTCACTTAAAACTAAATGAATAACTCCTATTATTTAGGAAAAAATAATGTTTACTAAACAATTATGGACAGTGCATGCTCTGGAATTGAACACAGATTATTAATTATTCATTACGTTAAATTACAACAAAACTAAATCCACATCCTGGAGGTGGTAATTTCTTTAAAATCAAAGTGTTATTTCATGACATATCTTATGGAATTTGATGAAGCTGTTTAACCACATTATACACAGGCTGGTTAATAATATAACAACTCTAACGTCCTTTTGGGAGATAGTTAAAAGTGGGTGGTTTCCGAGTAGAGAAACTATACTCACTTTTCAATTTCGACGCCAGCAAATTTTCTTTTGTCATATATTTTATCGCAAAGCCCGCGAACGCAGGCAATGCTCAGTGGTGCATAGTCCCTCTCGGACATTTCTGATTTATTTACCAGCTATTTCTGAAAAATCATGAAGTTGCATAAAAAGCTGAAATGAACGGACCAGATATCTACTTCTAACGTTCAGTTGAGTCCTATATAGTATATAATACTGTTGTCTAAATGTTAAGAGTTGAGGAAGAGAAAAATGTAGAAGATATCAAAATTTCTGATCGGACTAGCAGTAAATAAGGGCTTGAGTGTATGATATCTCTCCTCTGTCTTACTAACAGCTGATAATGTCAGTTTTGACGTTTATAAAACCGTGCAGAAATAAAGGCTGATAAAGATGAAATCCACATAGCGTCATTGCTATTCCATATTTTGATGTTGCAAACAAGATATCAAAACTAAGATTATATGTAAATAATCATAATTAAATGGCCAATAATGGCCAATGGAAAAATTAAATGCTTTTCCTTTTAGTCTAATGCTGAATAGTATTAACACAAAAAGTAGTTTCTAAACTACATAATAATATTATGAAATTAGAAAGTATACCATACTATCTGAACGAAAAATTAACAAGTTTTATTTATTTCATTCTTTGTATACACTCATTCATCAGTTTTTTTATTGTTAAAAAAATATTCTCGGCAGGCTTATGGCTAACCGACTAATTATAAAGCTCATTATAGCGTTGCGTTTCTCGTTGACGCCTCTCTGTGGCTATTGAACGAATAAATAATATAAAAATAATAGCTGTCTTTCTAAAAAGTAGTAAACTGGTAACCCAGTTAATCAGCCGTAGTGAGCTCGATGAGTTGTGTGTACTATTTTGATAAAACTGCGTTTTAAAACAATCCAATGTCAGTATGTTCTAAATTGTGGTGTAGTTTAAGTGTTTATTGGCCACGATAGAGTACAATTGGGCATTCGCCATGCCCGTAACACTTATAGACAGGTTGCCCTTGCCAAATCTCAAGGTTTATACAGCGGGAAGTGTTTCACTGCTTTCAATAGCTGTTTATTACGCTTTGAGTGTAACTAGTGATCCAAACTGGCGTGCAAACTCAACGATAGGCCGGCAGGACTCATCGGAGTCTGGGCAAGGAGAGCAGCGACCAATACCGGCCCAGCTTCTGGCCAATGGCACCAGAAATGTATCAGAGCAGTTTGTAGATGTCATTACGTTTATGATGCAGGAACCACTATGCATGTGGGTGAGTACTTCTTCGAACATACAACCACACCATAGTTCCAAAATCGAATATATTGCTATCGCCAAATTACGTCGAATTTTATCGTGCTTGGGCTTATCTTCTGTGTTAACGCCTTCTCAAATTAGAATGTTATATTACTACTCCTTTATCTTTATTGTAAAACTCTGTCTCGTTGCCAACCTAGTGGAGTACCTAGTATCCCTAATAAAATTAATTACTTCCTAAACACTGTTATCACTTCAATCACATTATTTTGTTTATACTGTCTAATAAATATTAAATGATATTCTGACAGGATATAAGCAGTATTAGCAGTATGTTCCAAGTAGAAAACTGATGAATTCAGGATGTCCCTTTTTAAATTGTTTTATAAAAATAATTCTGCCACATAATAATCATTAAAATACTGAAGCATTCTTGTACCTGCACTTTGCGCTCAAATTAAACTCCTTAACACTTTAGGAACATTTTCACCTTTCATTTAAGCAATTTAATTGTAAAATCTTAAAAATATGTGGAGTATTTGAAGAGGAGATGAGAGGTTTATATGTATGATAATGTCGACAAAATAGTGCATTGCACCTGTGTTAGCTAGGGCGTCTCTGTAATCTTCTCAAATAATCCACCAGTTCATTTCCCAACCTATGACACATTAAAAATTACATAGCCAATTTGAAAAATTTATAAGTTGACCTTTCTCTCTATTTTATTATCCTCCATAATTAATTGAAAGCACTTGTCCTATGCTATGCTATTTTTATTTAGACCTAGCAGTGCTTCTTCTCTTTGTGGTTATGTTAATTAGTAATTGTGATAAATCCCTAGGTGGTTAAAACCTTAACTTTCATTATAAGTGACAGAACTTATTATCTTGAGTAGTGGTTCTACCTGTAACCCACCTTGACAATGTGGTTACTATATATACTATACTGATAAACTAGCTCTGTTGTTGTTCCTTTCGATTGAATGATATGTTTTTTGTTTAATTTTCTTAATGTCTACATCCTGTAAAATTTTAGAAAAACCAGTTAACACAGTAAATGCTAGTTGTGTCTTTTGTCAGTTCACATAACTTACCAACCAGTACAAATAAACCCATCTTTATTTTTTGATCGTTTTTGGTTGCCCTACAATGTGATTTTTACCTGTGCATTTACAAACATACGATTTCACATACACAGCCTGTTGAACCCACGACATGTTGCACAGTAGCCAGTTGCCCTCTTACTGTGCCAACCATGCAGTTGAGTTAGAAGTCAAAATGAGAGTTGAAGAAGTAACAACAAAGCAATATTTGTTCTTATAACATTTTTGTTATTTTTTTCATGTTTAGTTGTTAAGTAGGTACCAACATCTTTATCTTATCACTTGTCCCTAATTATAATCATACACATAGATTTCCTTACAATTATTTGTTAACTTTAAATAACAAGTGTGTATTTTATAGTGCTCAATCACATTAGTGTTTGGTTTCATAACCAACAAGTTATACTGAGCTGTATTGTAGAGGTTCTGCTGATAACTGCATATGAGCATGTGCCTGTTGCTTATGCATGTAAGGTTACAGCCAAAACAAAACAAAACCTTGCATGTATGGTTACCATCAGGATGTTTCACTCCCATGAATGAAATGGGTAGTTCACCATTTGTATACTATAATATTTTACTTTACTCCTGTGGCCTAGTCCCCGCCAATTGGAACCGAGCTCGATCGATATAGAGTTCGTAATGGTACAGCAAATCTGTGCGCTATGCTACAAAGGGCATGGATACTCGATAGCTTCCCTTTGACAGGTCAACAATAGCCTATCCACGTTTATACAGGATACTCGAAAACTTGTTAGCTCACTAGATGAACAAATGAAACAGAAGGTCTATTGATATGACGCAATAGTTAATCGATATTGTAATTTTGCCGTTGCTTGAGTGTTTAATACCTCATTTCTAACAATAAACCAGTATAGGCTATTGTTGACCTTATAGTGATATAATTATGATACCTATTTAAACTACCTAACATTTTTTTTTATGAAAAGTCCCGCATTTCTTTAATTTTTTTATGTTTCATACAACACATGACCAAGTGAATAAGTTACTCTAGTTAATTTACATTTGTAGATACATGAGTACATGACTGACACGACTCTTTGGGTAACGTTAATGACAATCTTACGATTTGGTGTATTACATTTAAAGACGTAGGTACTAACAATAGACACAAGCACCGTACATTCGAGTTTCAAGCGAAAACAAATAAAATGGTGTTAGTGAAATAATTATCATGTTGTCCTAAATAACCCGAAGTACATTAAAAAAACAGTTACAAATAGAGTACCGGTGGGTAGGGGCGGCGCGCGCGTCGCTCGTTGGGCTTCGTAGTGAGCAGTGACGGTAACGTTTCGTTCCTCAGCCTCTACTAGTCCACCTTGCAGGCTTCACATTTACCTTGCCGACGCTTCCAGCGACCTAGTTGCCGGGGTTGCACACTATTTACATAATTGTAGTCTGTTAATGTTAATCCTTTATTAATTATTATTTATATTAGACGCCGATCTCTGCACCATTTGGTTCGTTTTGTTGTTTATAGTGCTGTAGGTAAGGAAGATGATGAAAATGTAATAAAAAGAGAATAAATTTGATAAATAATCAAGAATTGTAACATAATCTGTATCTTATAATAATTTACAAATCGTCCAGTTTTGGTTCAGAAAAAAGCTTTCTTCTCCAAATTATTCGTTTTAGGTATGTTTTTTTTTTCATCCCATGGATACATCCCAAGAGCGATTTTAGAGGACAACATGATTGGAAGAGGCACATTGTGTAGCGCGGCCTGGCCCAGGTGCAGAAGAAGGAACTCTCCCAGTTGTGCAGTGTCTGTGCGTTTAAAGCTTAAGTCACCCTGTCTCCTGCACTAAATTCAACGAGGGAAGCGGAAACTATTGAGTTTTTCTTCTCCTGTAATAACATCTGGTTTATTTAGTTTCGGCATCCAAAACAATTGTTTCAAGGACGACCTGGACATACGTTCAATTAAAAAACAACCCTTTCGCTTCACCCAGGGCGGGAGAAGTTGTTCAATGACCCCTGCCCCCTTCCAAAGACCCACGTGTAATACTCATGCCGACCGCGTTGAGTCTACAAACACCGAAGTAGGTGGATTCGTAAGCACCCATTATAATTAGTATCATTGAACTTTATAAATCGTGTATAGTAGAACAAGACACAACCATGCCCCCCATTCACAAGCTTGGTATGTTGTCGAGGGGCGCGATGGTGCGCGAGTCGCTTTAGACGCTCCACGTAGTGAGTGCACAGTCCGGGTGTCGATGACCGCGCTCATTAGCAACCGGCGCTGAACTAACACATACTAACATTACTGTTAAATGCAAATTAAATATTAAAAAATATCGAATAAAATGGAACTGGAATGGAACAATTGTTAGATAGCACAATTATAATTGAAAACTCGATGTAATTTGAACAATACAAAACTTGTTTTTTGGACGTCGACTTCTGGTGCAGTCAGTCAGTTACTTAGCCAATGATAAGTGCATCATTAACATTTTTTGTGAACGCGCCGTGCGAAGATTAAGCGGGCAAGGGTTAACTTGACAATTCCAAATACAACAATAATAGGGATCCGGATAATGGCTATACCGCCTGGGTTAGCACTCTATCATTGTAACTGTGTGACCACCATGCATGCATATAGGTATGAGGGTATGGGAACTAGAGTCGTATTACAGCATTACAGCTGACCGACTCCAAAAAGGAAATGTGTCTGTTGGCTTGCCCGAACATAGAATGCGAATGGCGTGGTGCCGGTTGTTGCAGACGCTGATCAACATAGCGTACTGCTCGCTGGCGGTGTTCGGGTTCGCGGTGCAGCGGCTGGTGTTCGGGCCGCTGCGCGTGGCGGAGGCGCAGCGCGTCAAGGACAAGTTCTGGAACTACGTCTTCTATAAGTTCATCTTCGTGTTCGGCGTCATCAACGTGCAGTACATGGACGAGGTGCTGCTCTGGTGCTCCTGGTTCACACTCGTCGGCTTCTTGCACCTGCTCGCTCAGTTGTGCAAGGATAGGTACGAATATGTAAGTACAATGTTATTATTTTCATTACTACCATAAATACAGTACCCATGTTCCTCCTCGTCACTATACGTATATATATACGTTTTTCTTTAGTATTCTAACGTGTAATGGTGATGTTTCATAAATATTTGCTTAATGTTAGCTGTTCCACAGATTACCCCCTACATACAAACTTTCAAATTTTACCTCATCATAATATGGGTAGATATACATAGAAGTATAGATAGCGCCGCCCATAGACACCCGCAACTACAGAATAGTTACATGTACGTTGCTGGCCTTTTGGGTATTATGGGCTCAGGGATGGGGAAGGATTGGGCTTCCAGTAACCTCACTTAAACTTTGTTTCTGTGAAGCCGTGATATGACTCCGGCCGTGCTGAAACATGGCTCTTCCGCACTAAAACGCACTCTTCCTCCCTACCACCATCTATCAGATGTCATTACGTTACAAATATCACCCTCCTAAACGTTTACATCCAGCACTCGCTTTGTCATAATCACGTAAATATTGGATGCGTACAACAAAAGTTGACGGTCAGCTCGAGGTTCGCAACGTTGGCGTTGTCTCGAGATAATTCTATCTATATATACGTATAGTATGTCACAAGTATAACACACAGCGGGCCGGCCACTGCCACTAAACAACAACTTAATGTATAAACACATTAATGACGAAAACAATTGTTTGTGTCTACACGTCGCGCGCGTGCGTGTGCGTCACACTATCTCACGCGAGCCAGAACATACAGCACTGGGTACGATTTTATCATATCAATAACATGATGTCCTCATTATTTCAACTAAATATCATCGTTGAAGTATTTCCTACCCAATATTCCCCTCATATGACCCAAAAGTAAGCAAATCTCTAAGCAAGTTACCTCCATCCAACTTACCGGTACAGATAATATGGTTGGACGTGTAGTAAATAAAAATGGGAACAGACGTAGGTAGGTACTAATCACTGTTTAATATCACTGTATTAATGAAACGTTCACGTTGTGGTAGCGTCCGAATCATTCTTCTTATTTATTCATAGATACTAATACAAAGGTAGCATATTTGTATAATGAAGAACGTCATTTAAATTTATTTTACGAAAACAGAATTATCTAATGGTTGACTTGTTAAAGTTGAAGGCTGTTCTCTATTTTGTATATTGTAACCTTCAACTTGCTTTGGATTCGCCATCGTCGGTCAGATATTATGTTAGCCAGTGGTTGCTGTGTAGCAGCAACGGTGTACGTACTAGGAAATATATTTCGAAACAAATAACAAACAGTAGGTAGTAGGAATGATGAAAACTTTGGAAATAAAAGTATGGCAAAAATGAAAGCAAGCACGTGGATGCTTCGGCACGAATGTACCGGCTTGACATAGTGATACCACGGCCTCTTGTAAAACCGGCTTGCGATTGGCGGGATCTTTCCAAAGGGTATCATGCTACTCAATGTGATGAACCTGTTAATGTTTTTAGAAGGATTTGGTACTGGTCTCTTTAGTTTAGCTTGTAAATGTTTAACATAAATACAAACACACTGCTGGGCCGCCGATCGCTGTAGAATAATAATAAAAAAATTTGGATGCATTATAATGCACCACGCATACTACCTGCATCGAACGCAAGTATAGCAGGAGTCGCAAGTTCGATTCGTAAAAAATAAGTTAAAATGACTAATGAATTAAATTACTTAGTATATTCTATAAATATTATTATAAAAATGAATCGCAAAATATGTTGGTAAGTGCATAACGTAAATACCCGAAATAAAAACAGACTGTACCTCCCACCATCTAGAATTAAAATGCATAACCAAAGTCTAAAATCAAAGATTACCGAAAGACCTAAAGAGCGACATAAAGAGTCACACCTCACAAACTCTGTACCCAGACAATACAAGTAAAAAATACAACTTCCCGACCCTTGCCAACTTATAGGCACTGAATTAAAATTTTGCTAAAAGTGACAACCCTAAGACAGTAGGCAATTATGTCGCGGATTGGGCCGGAGATAGCCTACTGCCCTTCTCTTTATACTATGTATGACTACTCACTTTTTTACTTCAACTAATTATTATTTTTTCGTTTATGCAATGCACATGTGATATAATTAAGTAATTTAATAGATATTATTTTATAAGCTAGTAATAGCCCTCTTTGCAAAGCCTGAAAAAGGCCGTCAAGCTGTGCCTGTTATTTTAATTTAAGATCCTTGTACCTACCTTAACATGCAAATAAAGAATTTGAATTTAACTCAACAACACCTGGATCAAATTTCCCAATTTTTTATGTTTGTTGATGTCAGGAAAATTTTCTTATCAAAGAAAAGTAGAGAGGAGAACTGGGAAATTGTGACCTTTTATTCTTTAGCAAAATAGTTGGAGATCTGAGCCGCTAGTGTACAATAAAAGAATGAATGTGTAATGAATAATGTTTCAGTTGTCCTCGTCGCCGAACACGGGAGGCTGGGCGCACGTGCGGCTGGCCTGCCTGCTGGCCGGCATCCTGGCCGCCGCCAGCGCGCTGCTGGCCGCCGCCGCCGCCTGGGGGCTGCCGGCCGGACGGGACACCTTCGCTTTTATGGCGGCTGAGGTATGTTGTTGCTTTCTCTTTACCAGCCTTGCGGCTAGAGCAGGTAGTAATAATCTATAGGATTGTTGGCGTAGAGGCTGGGCGAGAACGTCGTTGATGATGACGTGCTCGCTTCCGTAGAGAATGTTCGATTTAGTGTGACAGAGCGTAAGGTTGTGTGCGGTGAAGCGGTAGTGAGGTGAGTAACGGCAGCGCGTGTTGCAGTGCGTGCTGGTGTTGGTGTGCGCGCTGCACGTGTCGGCGCGCTACGCGCTGCAGCTGGCGCGCGCGGACGCGGCCGGCGCCCTCGCGTACTACACGCATCTGCTGTTCGACGTGAGTACCGGGGGCCGCGGGGCGGGCCGCAGTCAGGGCAGGGACTCAGTGAGGGCTGCTGCAGGCGGCGGCGCTGGTGGCGGAGCTGGCGCACGTGGTGCACATGGTGGCGCACAGCAACATGCTGGTGTCGATGGCGTCGCTGGTGCTGCTGCTGCAGCTGCGCCAGCTGCTGGCGGCGCTGCAGGCGCGCCTGCGCCGCCACCGCCTCTACGCCGCGCTGCACTCGCACATGAGCCGCAAGTCAGTCTCGCCATCGCTCGCACCCATACTTCTAACAAACATACCATCGTCTCTGTCGCCCGTCACAAACTCATATATCTAAACTTGTTCCGATATAATATCAAAACGATACAAATTGTCGTTAAAACAGTTTAACTGGTTTCATTATAAAAACACAATGACATGTTGCCACCTTGTAAATCATAACCCGCGCGCACATTTCCATGTTTATGATTGTATGTTGACGCTCCATCAATACATATACGAGTATAACCAAAGCACAGAAAAACACAACATATATTCATATTTATTGTGTAACAAACATAGAATGCCATTATGAAATGATCGCAGTAAATACATCACTGTAGCCCGCACGCTACGTCATCTATAAGTTATGTCTTTAAAGACGATAAGTTATAGAACTCTTCAGGGAGTTGTAATATAATGCGATATGAATGACAGATGCGGCTCCAGCGACAAAGTATTTTTGAGGTAAATAGCTGACAATGCTGGTTACTAAACAACGATTGTATTTTATTACTTTCTGGGCGGGCGCCCTTGCTCAACTTGTCAATCCATCGAAGGCGCTGCATCTTGTCATGTAAACAATGCTTCATGATATTATAACTTTCTGACGTGTTTTACAAATTATCTGGTAAGAGGAAATTAAACAAAATGTGCTGCTGGCTTGCGGGCCAAGTTTTTATTTTATTTTCATAACTTCGTAATGACAGCCAGCCAGACTTTAAAAGTTTTCAAAGTCCGTGGTCCGCTTGTTCCACCCAGTGGAAATGTAGACGTTTTCCCAATGTCACCAGTTATCCAATGGCTAGCAAAGAAGAAGTAGAGAAGAACCAGGACAATTGTGCCATCTGCTGGGAGCCAATGAAGGAGGCTCGAAAGCTGCCCTGCTCGCACCTGTTTCACAAGTAAGTTGCCAGTATGTGCAGTACGCAGTGTGAGTAATGCTAGGCGCGGTGTGTGCAATACGCAGTGTGAGTAAAGCGAGGCGCGATGTGCGCAGTACGCAGTGTGAATAATGCGAGGCGCGGTGTGTGTGCCGCACGCAGTGTCGGTAATGCGAGGCGTGGTGTGTGCAGTACGCAGTGTAATGCGAGGCGCGGTGTGTGTGCAGTACGCAGTGTGAGTAATGCGAGGCGCGGTGTGCGCAGTACGCAGTGTGAGTAATGCGAGGCGCGGTGTGTGCAGTACGCAGTGTGAGTAATGCGAGGCGCGGTGTGTGCAGTACGCAGTGTGAGTAATGCGAGGCGCGGTGTGTGCAGTACGCAGTGTGAGTAATGCGAGGCGCGGTGTGTGCAGTACGCAGTGTGAGTAATGCGAGGCGCGGTGTGTGCAGTACGCAGTGTGAGTAATGCGAGGCGCGGTGTGTGCAGTACGCAGTGTGAGTAATGCGAGGCGTGGTGTGTGCAGTACGCAGTGTGAGTAATGCGAGGCGCGGTGTGTGTGCAGTTCGTGCCTGTGCCAGTGGGTGCAGCAAGACGCGTCGTGCCCGACATGTCGGCGCGCGTTGGCCGCAGGGCCGGCCGCTCCGCGCCCGGACGCCGCGCGCCACCCCAATCATCTGTTCCATTTCGACGGTAAGAGAACTATTTTATTACGTTATCTTATAATCCATAATACAGGTAGGAAAACCTTTTAATGTGTAAAAAACATATTTTATATCAAGACAAAAGCATCATCTTATATTATCATCATTACGAGTCGGCATGTACCTTATAGTAATTATCTATTCAGATTTAAATATCGTGTCTTAAAAAGATATCAAATACTGAACTAAAATTATTACAAAAATTATTGAAGGGGCAACAGCACAACTGTTGTTCCGGGTCCACGATCCACAATTGTTGTTCCGGGTCTGTGGTGACTGGTAAGGCAACGTTCGAATAAAAAAAATGTATTTTCGTCTCATAGGTAACTGTTTTTATTACAGTGTTATTTAACTCTGTAAATAATGTATAACTTTACTATAGTAGGGGATGTATATTTTTTAATTTTTAATGTTATAAAGACACAATATGTTTTGAAATCAGAGACAATCATTTAAAAATAAATGAATATCGACATCGTATTGGAATCCTTATTTCTTTCGTAGGTATTTGCGCGGTATTTTGGCTTGGCGTTGCAGTTTCATGTGTTTGATGTTCTGGCGGTCAAACGGTTAAAATTCTTTTTCTGCATAGTTTTCACTATGGGTCCAATAGTGGGATGATGATCTTGGAAAACGTATTTTAAAAAGTAAAAATGGAGTTATTTTTCGTTCTTCTTCATACGAATCTAGATTTAGAAACGGGCACCTAGCTTGATGACTGACGTAGGTACTGAGTAGGTACTATTATTCTATTTGATGTTTCATACGTGCGTATTTTAGTTTAGTTAGAATAAATTATTTTCACTTTTGAATTCTCAAAATAGGGTGCGCAAACGCCGGTGAGTTTGAGGATTGATGCTTTAAGAAGTTTTCAATTCCCGACACAAATAATTTAGTTGTTAGATAGAACCTCTATATACAACATCTCCCTATATTAACAAAATAATATGCAAACATTCAACCTCTAATATTAGTAACTTTATAGTTAACTAAGTGACCAGCGATAACGACCACAGACCTAAATACTAGCAGCCGTCATTACACATCACTGTCACGAAATTAAACGTTAGACAGAAGGTAGGCAAGAGAGGCAGAGTTGGGAAGAGTAGGTGACGACGAAATTGTAGTGAGAGTAATGCAGTGAGTGGCGCGGCGCATGCGCTAGATGCGGCGGCGGCTGGCAGTGTACGCCGCCGCCCTCGCCGCGCTCTGCTGCGCCCTCGCCGCGCTGCTGTACCGCGGTAGGTCAGCAGCCTCGCCTGTAGCCCTAGTAGGTCCGGGCGAGGCGGGCAGTGAGCTGCGATATGGTGCGCAGGGTCCCGTTACGTGTCCTGGCTGCCGAGCTTCTCAGTGGAGGTGACGCGCGTGCGGCCCGACGCGGGCGGCGCGGCGCTGGACGCGGCCGGCGCGCAGCTGGACGCCGCCGCCGCGCAGCTGCAGCTCATGTTCCCGCAGCATTCGCGCGCCGCGCTGGCCGCCGACCTGCAGCGCACGCGCTCCGCCGACCTTACACTTGACAACATCCTGGAGGGCCGCCTGCCCGCCGCTCCCGCGCCCCGCGCCGCCGCCCCCGCGCCCCGCCCGCCGCCCCCGCCGCCGGAGCGCGCCGACGCGGCCGGCTCGGACGACGCGGGCCGCTTCTCGCGCTGCGCGGCCGAGCGCGAGGCGCAGCTGCGGCGCCGCAAGCAGCAGCTGCTGGAGGCGGCGCGGCGCCGGTACCTGGCGCGCCTGGCGCCGCGCAGCTAAGCCGTTGGTACCTGGCGCGCCTGGCGCCGCGCAGCTAAGCCGTCGGTACTTGGCGCGCCTGGCGCCGCGCAGCTAAGCCGTTGGTACCTGGCGCGCCTGGCGCCTCGCAGCTAAGCCGCCGGTGTCTGGCATGCCTGGCACAGACCTCGTTAGTGATCGATGCACGGACGCCCCGATTAGCGTGTTGCAACCCGAATCTTTATTTTAGTAAGTAGCCATAAAATATCGGTATGATGTAAATATTTCACCCTTTGTGATATATAAATTAGTGTTACAATTAGAATAACCTCCAACGAGCCTGGCTGAATGATTATTTCGAATAATATTTCGGTTGAACTGGCGACGATATGTTGAAGGCCTTATTTAGACGCTGGTCGCGCCAATTTATTTTTTCTATTTTATCTTTGAGAGTGTATTTTTCTATTTAATAAAAAGTATAAAAAATAATATCGTCCATTGTATGTACTCGTAGTTTACCGTTATATGTAAAATTATTGAAACCAGTTTGATCTCTTTGTAATATGAACCTTTGTTTTGACAGAAAGTTTACCCATTTGTTCATTAGACTAGTGATTGCTCATATACTTATACATGTTGATGTAGAGTGTAGACGATGTAATATGGCAAACACGATGTGTCCCCCTCCCTCCCCCCTGTGCAATAGGTAACCTGCCATTTACACCAGTAGTCACAGGTTTTGTATTGAGTGATGTTTATTGCTGTTTATTAATTAATTCAGTTTTTTTCTACATCGGCCTTCTCCAAAATAATACATGTGTAGTTTTGTACTTATAGTGTGTACAAATAATAATATTATGTGAGTGGCTGCATACTTAGAAACTTAAAGTTATCATTTACCTAATTGTGATATTAGCTACTTGACAAAATTATGTTTAGGAAGTAATTGCTGTGGCTTAGCTTGTGTTGCAAATGTTATTTTTCTATACAAAACATTTAACGTAAACAGTTGAATCAGAATAGCTGTGAAACAAGACAGGGGCTTGCTATTTATGATGTTTTTAGTGATTGGTGAACATGTATGCGATAGTAACATTTATAGCCACAACATGAGGTGACTGCTGATACATATAAAATTTTAAATAAATATAAAATTGATTCATGACTAGTCAAATAAAAATAATAAATATTTAAAGTTACTATGTGTTTTATTTATTTACAAATTACCTACAATTTGTTACCCCCAAAAATTATGATTTAACGGTATACTAAAAGTACACCTACGCTTATTTTTCTTTATTTTATAATTCATTTAGAAAGAATAAATCTGCCGGACTAAGGCGAGTCCAACGCGAGTTCTACATGTCTCATGGTAAAGTCAAGACTGGAAACTATCGGCTTTTTGAGGCGCGCGGAACGCTACGCACCGTAGGTACGCTCGGGTCTGATTCTGGTTGCCGTCCACAGACCCACGCTTGCGGTGGCCGGAGATCATCTCTCGATCCCCGACGCCCGGAATGTCGCCTACTGCGGCGGCTGGGGCGTCAGGAGGATAGTTACCTAAAGCGCTCTACCTCCTCTGTTTAGAATTAAATTATTTAATATGTAGTTTTAAGCGCCTACTACCTTTTAAGAGCAAATAGTTCACACCTACGTGTCTTATTGCGTCAACAAAATTGCAGTTTTTATCAAATGATTTATGTATACCGCCTAGTTTTAATTTTTCTCTTCGCCTCTGTAATTCGCTCGGAATACACGCATTACAACGTTGCTGGAATATTTTATTTAAAAACTAAACCTAATAATCCTCTACATGGTCCTTCGAGCCGGATATTTGAAGAACGTTATTCAGTAATCAGCGAAAATAAGAAGAATCACGGATTTATACTGGGATTGCTAAATTTGAAGATTGGACGAAGCCACTTTGTACGGGGTACAAAGGTCATAAAAAAGTTCGACGTGAATGTCAAGGAATGAGGTCCTGGATTGTTGGAAACGGTGTTCAGTATTCATTATCATAATTATCAACACCCAGTATTCTAAATTAGGTTTGCTTAAGGTAATACGTTGAGTAAGTTTCAACAATTGTTAAGGTCAGTACCTACTTCATTTATTTTATAGATTGTTACAACCAGATAATCATTTTCTGCAGTTAACCGATTACATTGTTATAATAATTAAGCAGGAACTAGGGTTATATTGTCATAAATATCCCATTAAGTATGTTGTAGTTTCCTTAGCTTGATTTTTTTTGTGTAGAAGGTATTAAGCAGTCTAAGAGGTAGACGTTAACTTGAACTTTAAATTGTTTGTATTCCAGCTGTAAGACGCATTGTAACCTGCTGTTATTGTATTTTTATTTCGTTTTATTAATTTGTTATTTCGGTATATTTCAGTAAAGTACCGGTTTCCCAGAATGACTGACAAAGAGGAAAAGGAGTTGACCAAAAGGCGGGCAAGTTATAAGGGGCGCTTGACTGCGTTTTCAAATTATTTAAACGGTTTGGAGGATTCGTTAAATCCGTCACAGGTTAACGAATTGCAACTACGCCTAGGTAAGATGGAACATTTATTTACTCAGTACGATGAGGTTCAATTAAAATTAGAGTGTTTAGTTGATGACGTCAATAGTCAATTATCGGAACGGAACGACTTTGAGTCTACGTACTACAAGTTGGTTTCTGAAGCTCAAAATTTGCTGTCGCGAAATATAAAATCAAATACCGATGATTTTCCGATAAGTGATAAAGGTTCATCACGAATTCATAATCATAGGCTCGTTAAATTACCTACCATACAACTACCAAAATTTAACGGTTCTTTTGAAAATTGGTTGGAGTTTCGAGACACATTCTCTAGTTTGATACACTCTAATGATGAGATGGATGATGTAAACAAGTTCCACTATCTAAGGACCTCTCTCGAGGGTTCAGCTGCTGTGGTGATTCAATCCATAGAATTTTCTGCAATCAATTATCCTGTCGCATGGAAAATATTGTGCGAAAGGTTCGATAATAAACGTCTTTTGATTCAGAATCACGTGTCTGCTTTATTTAATATTGAGACAATAAAAAGGGAATCATCTTTTACTTTAAAACGAACCATCGACATCGTAAATAAAAACTTGCGTTCTTTGGAGTCATTAGGGGAACCAACACAATATTGGGACACACTTTTAATTTATATTGTAACGAATAAATTAGATTCAAAAACTTATCGTGAATGGGAAGAATATAGAGGTAATCTGGATAACGGTAAGTCAATTACATTAAAAATGTTTGTTGAATTTATTAGAAAACGGGCAGACTTGTTAGAAACTTTAGAAATGTCACACAATAATTCAAGTAATCCAAAAAATAATAATAAAATTAAAAGCATGGTGTCTGTCACCAGTACGTCAAGTAATCAGTCAAATAATGGTACTAGCTCATCAAAATCGTGTCCCAAATGTCGAGGTGAACATAGTCTCACTAACTGTTCACAATTCTTGGGACTTAGTAATGAACAGAGGTTAGAGTTATTACCGCAATACAAAATATGTTTTAATTGCTTCCGTACTGGTCATTATGCTAACCATTGCAAATCAAGTGGTTGCAAAGTGTGTAAACGCAAGCACAACACACTTGTTCATGTGGATACCAAGATTAAATCGACATCAAATCCGGTGACTTCTGTTGCTGACAGCAAAGCCACTGGCAAGGATAGTGATCAGTCGCCCAACAGTAACGTCACATTGTCTGCACGAGTTACGACATTTGTACACAATAAATGTCAAGTTCTTTTAGCCACATCACTATTAAAAATTTATGATAGAAATAACCGGGAATATCTATGTCGCGCTATTCTCGACAGTGGGAGTACATCTTGCCTTATCACAGAAAAAATCTATAATTTATTGAATTTACCAACCATTCAAGTGAACGAGTCACTGATGGGTATTAATAATTCTACTTCACCGATAAGTAAAATGTGTTGCGTTCCAATTAAATCTTTAAATGAAAACTTTTCTACGAACATTTATTGTTTTATTTTACCTTCTATAACTGATGAAGTACCTTGCCGTCAATTAAATCTTAGTAATTTAAATATTCCGAGTGATTTGTGTCTAGCTGATCCACACTTTTATACCCCTGCCTCTGTCGATTTAATTATAGGTGCAGATGTGTTCTGGGATCTACTGGGTACACAAAGAATTAACCTCGGTATAGGTAAGCCGGTACTATTCGAAACGAGACTTGGTTGGATAGCTTCAGGCCCCATGTTAAATAGTAGTCAACTATCACAATCGTCTCCTATAATTTGCAATTTTGCAAATATTAATAAGAATAATAATAATTCTCTGAACAACTCGAATACTGATGATATTCAAAACCTTTTAATGCGTTTTTGGCAGCTCGAGGAAGTTGGCCATCAGTCATCAGTCTATTCTCGAGAAGAAAAGATGTGTGAAGAACACTTTATCACAAATACAACTCGTCTTAAAGACGGCCGTTTTTGTGTGAGAATACCTTTAAAGAAATCATGTGATAACTTAGGTGACTCTCTGCAGCGAGCCAAGCATTGTCTCTTTTCTTTAGAGCGCAGGTTTAGAAGTCAACCATCATTTCAAATCCGTTACTGTGATTTCATGAAAGAGTATGCTGTTTTAAATCATATGTCTGAGTGTATACCTGATCCTCAAAAGGTATCATATTTTATTCCTCACCATGGCGTTGTGCGTGAGAGCAGTACAACCACTAAACTTAGGGTGGTGTTCAATGCCAGTAGTCCCACTACTTCAGGGTCATCTTTTAATCATTTACAAATGATAGGACCCACTGTACAAGATGACTTGCTGTCAATTCTTCTCCGATTTAGGAAATATAAATACGTTATTTCAGGAGATGTTGAGAAAATGTACAGGCAAGTCATTGTACACCCCGATGACAGGCACTTACAGCAAATCTTATGGCGTGAGGATACCTCAAAGCCTGTGGTAGCCTATCAGTTAAATACGGTTACATATGGTACCGCTAGTGCTCCGTATCTTGCTACGAGGTGTC